TTGTTTGTTTGTTTTAAAATGACCTATGAGGCTACAGTACAAAACCATTTCAGTAAAATTATATATATATGAAAGTTAATGAAAAAAAAACAAATACACGGCGTATAAATTAATATATTTTTTGTGAATTGTAGTCTTATTGCGCGTAAACTGACTCGTACATTATTTGTTCGCGATAAATAGCTCCTTTCTGACTCGACCTTTATCTTCTAGCCAGTATTCAAATTGTAGACATATGAGAAGAAATATAATTAGATATCTACGGAAAATGTGTTTATTAGTTTTTCTGTCTGTCCGAAGACCATAAAAATGTAAGGCACAGACGAACAGTTTTATGTGGTATGTGTTTTCAATAACAGCTAGAATTCCCTTTGTCATTAGCTTTAACTGAGATTCACCGGCCAATATTACGTCTGTTTACAGTCAGACTTTAACAAGGAAATAAGGGTTGTGATAAATATTACAATCTATCACCCATTAGGTATGCTGGTTAAGTCACCCCCCCCCCCACCCCACTGAGGAGTGCAGGTTGTGGTTGGGTAACTCAGTCACATCATTTCTATTGGGCTTAAAACTTAATTTTAACCAGGGTGTCACGAAATTCCTTGTCTAATATCTTAATGTTTTCGGCAATAGTTCTGTTTTTCCTGATGCTGACTTAGGACAGTGTTCCAATACAGATAATATTGACAAAATAGGTTTTGAAATTCGGTTTACTCTGGGACATGTTGTTCCTGATGTTGGCTTAGGGCAAATGACGTGTAACTGTCAGCAGACGAAATATTGGCTGGTAAACCTAAGTTAATTTTTCCCAAAGCAATCGACAAATGAATCTCCAGTTGTTCATTGAAATTATTGTCTTGCAAGTTGACATGTTCTGTAGATGGATTTACGGGTTCACACAATCACACGCAGGCACGCACAGATAAAAAAATAACGTCTATACCACAATGATAACGAGAGAACAAACGGGATTTATAACCCATCCAGTGAATATGCTTGAATCTTCTTTTGGAGAAGTTAACACTTGTTTGTAAGAGAAAGAAATTAAAAGCTAAAATAACAGGAACGATCCTCTTAATAAAGTTTTGAGAGTCTATGGCATAACAGGCAAACTTAAGCCTAGATTACATTTGAAATGCGATGCCCGTACGGCCCACGTATACTGCCCGTAATACCCTTATCGTGAGGCGTCTGAGCGGAGGTAGACGGTGGCCGTGCGAAATCGCACGGAATCGTACGGATTAAAGGCCATGTAATGTAGACATTTTCAAAAAAAAAAAATAAATAAATAAAATAAATAATAATAATAAAATAAATAAATAAATAAATAAATAAATAAATAATTAAAAAATCACACGGACAATTTCATCGCACGGCGCCCGTGTAAATGTAATCTAGGCTTTAGACATCTAAATAGCAAAATTTCCTTAGAAAGCAAGCAGTTTGCGTAACTTTTTTATATAGTAGAAAACAAAATTTGCTATATTTTTTAGTAATTACTCTTTACTATCAATAAGGCTAGCTATCCCAAACCATTGAAAAACTATCAAATTTTAATCTCGGTTGCGCACTCTTAATTTCTAATCATTACCGCCACAAGTGAAATTCACAGGTCCTTACATCCATTTCGAGTGATTCAAAAACTAAAAACTATGAACTAAAAAAAAGAGATAATTATATATCACAATTTTCTTTTATTAAGATTATTAAGAAAAATGCTGAAATTACCAGGATTTTATTGTTGATTTCCTAGTATAAATTAATGTCTAATGACTTAAAGGAAATGCGTTTGGTGAGACCAATATGTTTGTGATGTGAGACGTTCATCTTCAGCGCAAATCGGCTCCCAATATGCGTAAAGTTGCGATCTATTTTATTCAAATTAATGGGACAGGCATTGTTGCTTTTTATAGAATTATACATACAGAGAAAGCCACTAGAAAGGCGAAAGTACTTGTGTAAACAGTATAGTAAATCAGGCCCGTTGCCAGCAATTTCAAAAGGGGAGTTCCTTTTCTGAATAAGTGAACCTTTTACCATGAAACCTTCATGTACCTGGACACATTTTTACCTAGAGGGGACCTTTTCCCTACGAAAAGGGGGGTTCTTTTGAACCCCCGCCCCCCCTGGCTACGGGTTTGTAAATCATTAAAGAAGTGTGACTATATAAAGATGTAGCCCCTTTTATTAAAAAAAAAAGGCATATTAATAGGGCCTACGTATTTAACGCCTTTTAATCACAACATTAAGTACTACAATTCCATGCCAGGGAATGTTCTTAAAGGGGTTACTTATTCTGTCAGTGAAGAAATAATGAAAGAATGTCTTTATTTAATGGAACGTTTAATTAGGGGATCATTTCTTCTCAAACAAACAAACAAACAAACAAACAAACAAACAAACAAACAAACAAACAAAAATGTAACGTCAAACGATGGCACCGGACTGTGAGTGAGGGAAAAATGCTGTTAAAAAATAAAACAAAAAGTTTTTTTACCCTAAAAGTGATTATTGTTACTGCCCTAATATTTAGATAATTATTTAATATTAAAGAAACGAGGAAAAAGCTATTTTCACATATATAGACCTTTATAACCTATCGAACCCTCTAATGTCATTGCAACTTGATCATATTGTCACCATCAATTCCTTTTACGCCGTCTGGCGTCTAGAGCACCAACAAAGATCTTCCACTGCTCTCTGTCACGAGTCAGGTGTTGAATGGTTTCCCAGCTTTCTCCTTCTCTAATGAGCTCTGCTTCAACGTCCTTCTCCGTGTTGTCTTAGGTCTGCCTCTTTTTCGGGGTCCCTCTTGTGTACAGTACATAGCTACTTTTGTGGTAAAACTTGGGTCCTTTCTCAGCTTATGTCAAAATCGTTTGTTTTTTTTTATGAAATATATGTGGTGGTGTTGATATTTAGGTAAAATACTCAAACCCCAGTTTTAGCTTCTTGCTCGTGACACCACATCTTCTTAGAGGAAAAAAATAATCAAAACATTTACACATCGTCGAAATACAGTTACATTTAAGATTTGGAATGGAAAGGCTATTTATGTTCTGTTTTATATGGAACTAGATTAATTATTTAAAACTGTTTCTGTTAGGCAAACAAACCTTTTTCATTTTTAACGCTTTGCCATTATTGTCAAGCAGCAGAGATCTCTGACTAAAACATCACTCGTCACATTCGTCACTTTTGTTCATTGCATTAAATAAGAAAATGAATGTCTTTTAAAAACATCTGAATTTTGTTACAGACTCCTTTTCGAATAAATCCGTCAATTTTATAAAAGCGACAAATAAATGCTTTTAGCCATATTTGCACATTAGTGAATAATTAAAGGCGGCACATGCCATTGAAGCAAGTCGATTTTTCCACTCGATACATTTATAATGCTTTAAGCAACCAGGAAAGATTTGAGAGATTGTGGATTTTGCAGCCTAGTGGGGGCGACCTAAATTTCGCAAAAAAACATGATATATATATGCTCCAACTGCGAGGGAAATATTGAGTGCAGACCAAAGACGTCTACCCTGGTGATCTGCCAACTATCGGTAAGTTAGGCCTACCTGTGTACGTCCAGAGCAAACCCAAGGCAGTTTGGTCTCATTTTAAATGACAGCGAAATTTTCCTGTAAATTCTTGTGATAAAAAAATTGAGTTTCTATTAAAAAATTGTGGATTATAAAGCCATAGCATGAAGGCCATACCTAATCGTACATCTAACGCAGCTTGTTTTGATTAGATTAATGAATAAATAAAGTAAACAGAAGATTAAATACTAAATACATCCATTAAATGTCCGTGTGAATATGTCTTGTAATTAGAAATACCACCATTTCTTTAGAAGAGAGCGCATTTTTACAAAGAACTCTTAAACTATAAAGAACGTACACGGAGCTGTTTTGTAATGGCGTGTTACGTCTAGAAATTGCTGAGCGACAAATTGTTGTCATATTCTTCAGTTTTTTTCTTAAAAGTTACCCAAGAAAATATTTTTTCTGAGAAAAACTATTTATTCAATAGTTTACTATGGTTTTCTCCATTTGATATTTATTTTTAAAGCGTATTTAAACCAAAATGTTTGATATCACTTTTATTTCAGACCACTATGCACTGCAGCACTGCAATCTTGTTTCACGCTATACTTCTCTTAGTTTTCCTTAATACAGTCAAAGGTTAGTCAAAATATTTTCCGTTTCATTGCTGAAGTCTAATCTTATTTGAACTAGAAAGTAACGGGAATGAATAATTTGTTTCATTTCTTTGGTTTTACATAACGGCATGATTTGAAATATTCAAGAAGTTTATTTTTACTAAATCGTTAGATGTTGGCAGTAGCTTTGGGGGTCCTCAGACACCAGACAACGATGAAATGACTACAGAAATCAGCATGGTAAGCGCTGGAGCAGAAGACACCTCAATGAATGAGAACTCCATGGAAACACCATTTTATCTAACAACGCAATCAATTCCGACAAGTACTCGAATGCCAGCAGGAGAAGACGCCAAAAACAGCGGGATGGCGTGCACCAGTGTCAGATATTTGAAGGTCATTACAGTTGTGCTGGTGCCATACTTAACGGTTACACTCTGGTTGCTTTATTTTAACTAAAAACTGACCAGATTTGAGCAAAGTGAATGATTAATCCATACAGCTTTGGCACAGTACTTAAGCGAGCAAACTTCTACAAGTAAGATGTACACAAAGTGCGGTTCCCATAGAAACTTACGTCATTTCAATCACTCCGACAGAAATTTCAAACTGGACGCTAAGTCAAAATCACAAGTTACTTGGATTTTTGTCAGTTGAATTTTTAGTCAGTTTAATTTTCAGTGTAATTTTTTTAGAAATAAAAATTACATAAAGCATATGCTCCCAATGTCCGGTTAGTAGACAAACATTAAAATACAGCAATGTTCATGGTAAAATCTTCTATTAGTCACACAACATAGGAAAGACAGGAAAACTATTCAAATATGACTTCAACGTTTTTGGATGAAATACCATAAATGGTTTATAGAAGGGAATGTGTCAGCAGAAACGCTTTGTTTACAAACATCAAGTACATGTCATTTTGACATAGATATGAATTTATTAAATTTTTTTGATATTTCAATATTTATTATATAGTTACATGTAAAAATAATAGTTATTGATAGTACATTTCGTGGCATTGGTAGATCTACTGATGGAACAATGATTGACAGAATAATGCTACGTATGTCATGTAATTAAGTGCCGAGTCTCTAAATCTACTTTAGAAAACCCAATGAAATAAAATCTCACATTATATGTTTTCTTAGTGTTTGTCTTACATCCATGCACCTTATCACATATGAGAGACTTTAAGTGTTTCTGAACTTTGTTCCAATACAGATAATTTGACAAAATAGGTTTTAAAACTTGGGTTACTCTGGGACATGTTGTTTATTTTCTTGCCTATCCTGTTCTTCTTTGATACCTACATGTGTACTGTTTAATCACAGTGAACAAATTACAAATGATAATTCTCAATGATCATTTCTTTTAGAACAAATTTCAATATGTTATTATATTTATCTATTTCTTTCCTTTAGATGCCACAGATGATAACTGGTCCCTTATTTTACCAAGTCCATCTAACATGGTGTCTAGTGTCTCTTTAGAAAGTTCAACATTCATACTAGTCACTTCTGGCACACTATCAATTTTAGTGGAATTTTCCTGGACCTGAAAGCAGACAATATAAAATGTTTTTATTACTACATCACTTCAAAACTGAAAAAAATTGATAACGATGCTCTGTTTCAGAAATTCCAATGGTAACTTGATAAACAAAGCAATAGAAACCTGTTTACTAGGCCATACTAAAGATTCAGTTCATTATTCTAGAAACTGTCAGATTCAATTAGCCATTCAACCCTGAATTTCCAGTCTCAAAGGCATGTCCAGCTGTCACTGCTTTTACAAATTTGAAATAGTGAGAAGAATGTCACAACGAAATGCATACGGTAATTAGATTTTTTTAAAGGGCAAAAATTATCAAACTTCTATATATACATGATTTCATAATCACAAAAAGCATATTTCTGTTTAGCATTTGTGGCACTTTTACTGCATACAATAGAACCTATGAGAAGCCTGCTTTTTAATTCTACCACTTTAGAAGATTGATCTAATTTTAAGAAATAATTACTTAAGAAATACAGTATCTGTAAAATTCATAATTTTCCCCATTGAAAAGTTTGAGTAATTCTTGTGTTTTATTTATTACAAAATATTAGAAATTTCATGAATCAAACCACTTCAACCATATCTTGTGTAATCTTATACCTTCAACTGCATAATACATGTTGGAACTGACATCCTGCTTATGCTGTCAGAGGAGGTCTTGATGTCTACTCTCCAGTCAAAGTCTAGAAGCCTTGGCAAAGAAACTGTAAACAAAATATCATTGACAAGTCAATGTTTATTCTAATGATGGACAGTGATTGAGTTCTTTATTATTTTTAAAAAAATTCTTTAAAAAATGATTGAAGTTTTCTTCTTAATTTTGTGTGTTATTAAGGCACATACCTTGATTGTTTATTGCATGGTTTTTCCACATTGGCAAGTTCTCAATGATAATTTTGGCAAGTAGGTCCCTAAGGTTTTTGTGAAATCCATCTGAAAATCAACATATTTTTACCATTATTAGCTATATGTGTACTTAATTTTCAGCAATCATTAAAATAATATGAAAAAATTAAAAGGTTTATCATGAACAAGTACACTTCAGTAGGGAACACATATTAATGAATTTTTTGAATTTCACTGCAATTCTTGACAAATGTCTAAATATTAAAAAAAAAAAAAAAACTCTTACTCTAAAATGCATTTTAACATGGAACATGTCAATATAGTTCTATGTTATCTTGTAAAAAAAATTTAATAAAAAATTGACAATTTTGTATAAATTTAGTGAAATTTATAAATTTATATATTTTCAAATACTACATGCTCTCTGCAGTTAAAATGATAGCGTGATTTATAATATGAAATAAAATATGCATTCAACACACTTATCAGGTAATGAACCACGAGTGTAGATGTCATTAAAATAAGAACAATGGTTTAAGTGAGAGTTAAAAAATAATTCCCAATCGAGGATCAGGAGAGAGCTATTTATTATTTTGTGGCAGATTCCTGCCTTAAAAGTGAGGGTAAATTCCAATGCTTTGACATATACCTCCATCAGGCATATAAAACTAATGTAGATATCCTGTTGAATATGGTTTAATATGAATCTGTATTAACATAAAAGTATGTAATTCTCTTTGAGTCAAGTCTCAACATAGTGGAATTTTATGAGAACCTATACACTGAGGGTAACATTATTCAAAATGGTAGCACAGTTACAATGTATACATTAAATATGTCCTTTTTAGTAAAAACAAAATGCAGTACTAGTACTTGCATTTTGTTATATAACCTGACAGGAAGGAACATAGCATATATGAGAAAATATTTGAAATAAAAATGGAAACATGAGAACAATGAGTGGTAAAACTTTACCTGGAAATACTTTAAGCACAGCAGCTGGTTCTGTTTGACCTTGAAATACTGCCTTTTTGGTAAGAATGCTTAAGTGATTTAGAAGCTGAAATGTTTGATAAAACTGTCATATAACATAAATATTTAGCATTGAATAATTTAACTACTTAAAAAGATGAAATGATAACCTCCAAACTGGTTATTAGAAACAAAATGCCTTCAATCAAAATTAATCAGATTAAAATGTCTTCAATAGTTCTTTATCTAAATTTTCAATGGTTTAAATAAATACTTTAAAAAAAAAATTAATACACTGCATGTTTGGACCAGAAACAGGGTGACTCCAAGGTTCTTTATGCATCAATATAAGTCAATTTAATTAGCACCAATTTTCAAGAGCTTGCACAACTTTGCATACGGCCAAAGTCTCAAATGATTAAAAAGCAGATCTTGGGTTTCAAGATTTCCAGCACCTCAAATTTTGAACTTCCAGCAAAGAAAAGAGGCTGAGATTTATTTTCCCATACACCTTTTCTCTCATAATCTGAATAGAAATAAGTATTTAGGATATGTGTTTTGTAGTAGATTTCATGCGCAAATCCACAGTATTCCAAGTAATATGGAAAGAAAGGTCAAATGTAGCTATTTTAATATTAAAATATATTTATTATTGTATATGGCTTTATTACCTCCACCTGGTAGGTTATGTTTTGGGTTGTTTGTCTGTCTGTCTGCCTGCCTGTGTGTGTGACCGTCTGTCTGTCTGTTGGCAAAATTATGCAAAAAGTTGTGTATGGATTTTGATGAAATTTTCAGAAACTGGCTGGAGAGGACCTAGTAATAAATGACTAAATTATGTTACATTATTTAATAAAGGGTTAATTATAAATTAATCATTTTTCTAGCTGTCTGTTAGCAATATTATGGAAAAAGTTATGGACAGTTTTTGATAAAAATTGTCCAAAACTGTTGGGAGGGGGCAAGTAACAAACAATTACATTTTGGTGGTGATTGGTTACAAGTAATCAAATAATTAATTAGTTCATTAATAAATAGGTCATAGAATAGGTCAACAATGGGCTTGATTTTGGTGGTGATCAAACAATTAATTATTATCAGTTAATATTTTATACTGTCAAAAATTGAGCTAATTTATAAATAAATTAATGATGAAAGTAAGTTAATCAATGAGTTAATTAATAAATAATGAACAATAATGAGAACTGAGCTGCCTTGGTGGAGGTTTGTGCTCTCTGAGTGCTCTTCTAGTTGAAAATACCTGTAGGATCTCCCTATACAAGTTTACAGCTAATCAAGGCAAGTAGATAATGTTTAAGTTATCAATATTATCCATTTGAAGTTGCTGGGATCCAACAGATGAACTTTTCTTCATGTATCACAAAAAGTTTACTATAGGATTTAATTGAATTTCTTTATTGAAAAAAGTCATGTTGTAATGTGACAAATCACTGAGAGCTTTTCTAACATTGTCAATTAAATTATCCTCAATTTTTAAGGGCTTGCACCACTTTAAAGTGAGTGGGGGTGGCCATTACCTAAATTTTAATATTTGAATATTACTGAAACAATCAATAACCACATTTAGGGAGATGTAAGATTGATTTACTCATGAGTATAACTGTAGCTGGTCATAACTAAATTGAATGAAAAGAAGAATGTGAACTGATGACAAAGTTTTTGGATACATCAAATCTTAAAACATATAAATATTTCTAACAGTAAAATTACATGTACTAATAATGAAGGGATGAAAATAATTTTTTTCCATTCAGATGACATAAGAATGTTTAATTTTAGTTATAAATACTAAACCATAATTAACTAAAGGAATTCTTGTTACTTACATTTTTACTCTCTTGCACTTCTATGGAAAGTCCTTCTGATGTTTTCTGAATTAAAGCCTCAGGTATAACTACAGTGTCTCTGTATAGGAAAGCCTCATTGCACAATTTGGCCACAAAGTCTTTTGAAGATGCCTGTAATGAATAAATACAAATCAACACATAGAAGCAACCATAACTGACAGATGCACTGTGTAACATGCTGTACATTCATCCATTCCAATGAATTACACATTTGTTTCTTACCTTGCTTTTGTGTACAAAATGAAAGAAAAATGCATATATATATATATATATATATATATATATATATATATATATATATATATATATATATATATATATATATATATATATGTTAAAGAATATTGCATCAAGCACCACTGCCAATACCTTATATTTTCACAATCTTGAGTTAAACCCCAATTGCTTAGGTCATGAAACAATTGACATTCAGACCCAACAACTCAAATTGAGAGTATTTAAAAGAGAAAATAGAACCTTTTCTCATGTTTAGTTGTGACTGGGCTGTTTTTTTTTTTTTTTTTTTTTTTTTTTTCAAATGTATTTCGCTGTATTGCGCAATTTAGGAGACCCCGGGATGGACCTGGTAGAAGAAATACACTTTAGAAAAATGCAGTGGCGGATTTAGGGGAGGGGTCAGGGGGGTCCTGACTCCCCCCCCCCCTTCGATTTCTGATAATAAAAAAAAAACACCAAAAAACAACTAGCCGAATCATAGTTCTAAACCGTACCAAATGGCACCATTTGCCCCCCAGAACACCAATTTTTTACGGGGCCCTCAATCGTGCCCCGATCCTGACGCCCCACGCCAAGATGGTGAGTCGGCCTTGCAATCAGAGGCCTGTCAATCCCAAAAGAACGGACTCCCCCCCCCTTTAAAAAATATTCTAGATCCGCCCCCGAAAATATATTTGTTTGGTGAAACTAAAAATGACATGGGGTGATATTCCATATTATGTGTAAGCGTAAATATAAGAAAACACCTCAATTGTGCAGAGTTCAACCCGCCCAGTGCAACTTACTTTTAACAATAACGATAACACTTCCGTATCGACAGTCGCCATTTTAATGACCTTCACCTAATTTTCGAGTTGTGATACACTTTAAGTAGATGTTGAATATACAATGCATAGCCTCAATTTTCCTGCAAAATTCAGATATTTATGTTAATTAAAGTGCAGGTTAAAATGGGCATACAAAGATAAAAGAAACCATAAACGCACTAAAAATGTTGTTGATTAGAGTAGAGATTAGACGTACGTGATTGGACAACACAGATCACATGAGCAGGTGCGAGTTCGTCTGCTCTCAGTGCCGCCTCTGCACAACTGAAAACAGGAGAAGCTGCAAAAGTTTGTGGAGTTTGTGAATTAAATTTGAATAAGGTCGGTCTGTCAAATTGCCATTCATCAAAATATGTAAAAAGCGATTATTATTGGTTGGCACATTTGATTTGTAATTTTTGAATCGTTTATAATATTACATATAGTTCAGATCATCATTAACAGCCTGTTTCCAGTCATCCCGGTTCTTCACCTGGTACATCTACAAATGAAAAAATTAAAATGTCGGGGTATATGGCTGAGTAAACAGAAATGCAAATATTTATAAAAAGGACTGAAAACATAACGTTACACAGTTTTCTAGTTAACTTTAGATTGTTTTTCATCTAATTTGGGAGAGGTATCGAAAGGAAGTTGGAATGCGTTTTGGGCGACATTTTTTTGTGGCTGGGTAGGAGTTGCAAAAATTGTGAAAGTACTAAAGCTGTGTTTTATATACATGTATTTTATTCAGAATGGATACCCCAAAAGTCCAAATTCAGGTTGAAGAACATACACCATTGGAACCAACTGCACCAAGTATAACTACAGACATGACTGAGGTAAATTGCCCGTACTAGTACTAGTAGTACAGGTATATTGATACTAAATTTTCCTGATGCATTTACAAAATGTACAAAAAGTTTTTTTATCAGATTTATTCACATGCACTTGATTTATTAAACAGTTTGGTAACTCATAATTAAAGTTTACTTTGTGTACAAGAAGTGTGATATACTTAAATATGTCAAAAAATGTTGCAGTTATCATTTTGTCTTTAAATTATTGGAAATTGACCTTTTTATTCTTTATAAAGCACTTTAAACATTTCTAGGCAAACCCCAATGAACAAATAAGTGAGGAGATTAAAGTAAATGAACCCCAAGCAAATGAAGAAGTGGAGAGTCCACAAGATTCTAAGGTTCACAAAGAACCAGAAACTGGAGAAGTGGAACAGGAGGCTGTGGCAACATCTGACAAAGAGAATGCACAGAAAGGTAAAAGTAATGAGTATAATACAGCTGTACTGATGTTGAGTATGTTTTTCAAAAAATAAATCTTATCAGTTTGGATAACTGTTATATAACTTAATCTTATTGTAAAATTGCAATTTTGTTTTGCAGAAGTAGAACCTGTTAACCCACAGAAGAGATTGTCCAGTGAAGTTTTCAGTGAGAACAGTCAAGAAACCAGCCCAAAGAAACATAGGTTACTGGAATCATCTGTAAACCAACATGAAACTGCAGCTTAAACTGATTCTGTGCTAAAAAACTGTAGCAAAAACTGTAAAAAAACTTTAGCATTTATATTTTGGAAAAAATCTTTTAATAGATTTTTAATGGAGCTGTTCTTTTTTTATGTAGTTTAAGTTATGATACTTATATCTGCACATACTTTGTAACTGGGCACTTTAATGAAGATTTTTAAGTCTCAAAATTTTCTAATGTAAGAGTGATTTGTTCTCTCCAACCCTTCATATTTTTAACATTCAAATATTTGTAGCATTAATTGATCATTGACTAATAAAAACATATTTCCAATTACGTTTTGTTTTAGAGTAAAATTTGGTGATAAGTAATTTGAAATATTATTGAAATAAGTTTGCAGTGGAATGTGAAATCATGTTAAAGAGCAACTTATGAAGATGTGCTGGACAAAAAATTACATGAAACGCCTTTGTACATCTGAATGCTAATAATGCCCTTTTTTGTATAATATTGGTTCGTGATCATTCCAATCTATTTATTTCGTTTGGATGCAAAAAAAAAAAAAAAAATGTTTCGCTAGATTGCACAATATTTGCAAGAACGGCCTCTGGGTAGATCAATGTGCTGGTTAAAGTGGTGACAAATGTGTTAGTTGAGACGGGTACCACCCAGAATTCAATGTCACAATGTCTGCTTCCAGGCCGAGCTGTCTGCTAGTGCTTAGCTCTGCAGAACAAGGTAAATAATTGGTATAAAATCACAACACAATTATAATTAACCTGTTACAAATAAAGCAGGCAAGTAGAAGTAAAATAAGGGCTATTGATGGCTGGTATTGCGGATTGTATTATTGCTTTGGGAACAAGTTTTTTTCCAGTTTTAATGTTATTGGATTTTCAAGAATCCAATCCAATTATTTTTCATTTTTAAGAAGCTTTTCTTCTGCGATTATTTCGTTGCAGGTGTGTCAGCTCAATCTTTCATCCATGCTTTCACTCTCACAAACACAACATTTACCGTCCAGTTGGCAGCGCCGAATGTAGGTATCAAATTGGGACTTAGGCCAAATATATAAGTCACATTAATTATATAATACGCTTCCTGTTTTTTCTCGGTCCTCACAGTACATGTATATGTGGGTGCATATCTATATTCTGATGATCTTTTGTTCCAAGGGACTTTTGCTCGGAAGGTTTTTTGTTCCGAGGGACTTTTGCTCCAAAGTTTTTTTTGTTCTCAGGGACTTTTGCTCCGAAGGTCTGCTATTCCGAAACCATAGACTTAGCAGCATCGAGAATCAAACATGGGCTGCATATACTGCTATCAAGAATTTGCTCTATATACCTGATATGCTAACTGCATGTTGGGAAATAACAGTTGAAAGCACCTGTCTGCACATGCAAGTAACAACACTGCGTTTAAAGCAAGGAGTTTCAACAGAACTCCTTGGTTTAAGTGCAGCTATCCTCTTTCGGTACAGCGGATCCTTAGACTTAAAATCATTCGGAAGATCAGGCCCTCTATTGGAATATTGAACCCTTGGAACAGTGGTCAATTTTTGAACTTGGCTCCTACAATCTTTAGAATATCGGACTCTGGGAACAAGAAACTCTCTGAATGTGAGGCATACCCCTTATATGTAACAGTGACATTATTCTGAAAATGTTGAACATTTTATTATTGATTTTTACATTTTGTTGATAACGTACGTGTTAGTGTTAGTTCAACACTTTGTCAATAAGTTAAATTATGTGTATTTTCAGGGTAAGGCAACAGAATATGTTGACCAGGATGAAAACAGTAGGCGATGGCTGAACGATTTTAGGACAAAAACTTTCGCACTTCCTCTAGAACTGGAAAAGATAGAAGGTAGAGGTTATGGTGATCCACCTTTGTAGAGGGCATTTGTTATTGATGTTTCATTACTCTAGCTTTTAGACTTTTAAGTCTATTAAAATAGCATTTAAACACATAGTTTTAACAATAAGGTTCATATCCGGTACATGTATGTTATTTGATTTTGAAAATTGGGATTGAAAATATCAGCACCTGGGGGCATTGTTACAAACAATACACAGTTATTTTAATTAATTTTTTTTTCATTGCATGTAGAGATTATCAGAGTGATGGTCCCTCTTTTAAATACACTTCGTTATAGACTGTTTAGAAAATTCTGTGCACCCTTTGATTTAGGGTTTGATTTCCATAAGTCTTACCAGATAATTACAATCTGTCAACTTTACCAGTGTAACCAGTGCTGTCTGAATGCTTTAACATGACATATCAAAACATCAGGGGCGGATTTAGGCCGTCTTCTGGGTCTTCCAGAAGACGGTCAGACTTTCAAGTTAACATTGACGGGTATCTAATTTTTTCTGTTGGAAGACGGTCAAAATTGGACGATGAATCAACAAAGATAATTTGGAAGACTGTCAGTAAATAGTTCTGGATCCGCCCCTGAACATGTAATGGTTATTCAATCATGAAGCTGCCATATTTTGATGCCAAATTTTTACCTTAATGATGTTTAAGTTGTTAAAAATTTCAACAACTTTTTCAGTGAGTAGATATTCTTGCTTACTGATACCACATGCTCCGGGTGCTGTTCATGACTTGGCCAGGGACAGGGAACTGGCCAAAATAATCAACCACTTTATCAGAGAAAAAAGTAAGTCCTTTGATGAAAATAATATTGCCTTGGTACAGTAAGTTTTGACATTCACAAAATGAAGTTTAATTCTTTTGAAATAAATTAAAATACTTAAATTCAAATATTTAAAGAGGGCTTGAGGTCTAAGAAAGCATCTGACAGAGATAAAGGTATGAACTGGCATTTTAGAAAAGCTAAATCTAAAGCTAAAGCTCTCAAATTTTGCAAATGGGTGGAATGTCATAATTATTTATGTCCCAAATTTCAATTCAAAATATTGCATATATTTTGAAATAGAATACTTCACATTTGGTGCAAATCTTTAAGTATTTTGTATTGTATTTTAATAATTTTAAATTGTTTAATGGGTATAATTGTAAAGTGCAGTGGAATGTGCTACAGTGTATATAAAAAGTATTATTATCAGCTATTCTTCAATAGTGTGTAATTTCACTAGTTAAGTTGACATTCTTTGTGTAGAAAAGAGAGGGAAGAGGGTAATAACCTGATATTTATAAATTTGGAAGTAACTGCAGTGAAAATTGATATGCTTGAGAATGGAGTTGGAGGTGTGTGTGACAATTATCTCAGTGTAGGGAGCAGACAATTCAGAAGGTTTATTATTTCCAGAACCAATATGTGCAATAGGAGCAGGTATAGCTGCCTTGTGCTGTGCAAGGATGGATGACAATAAAACCTGGAGTTTTAAAGATTATAGCATGACATCAGTGAGTACCAGTATAGCATTACATTGTAATTGGATGAGTTGTACTGAACTAATGGGTTTCATCTGAGATAGCTCAAAGCCTAGTGATATGGTATAAACAATGCAGAATTTCTTGGGATTTGGAGGAGGGTGCAGTCAGAAATGATGGCAGACTATAGCAATTGCGATGGGGCATTGAATCAAAAATGTCAGAATTTAGCCACATATATGCTTGTGGTTTTCTCTAAAAGGCACTGAAAGGGATAACAACTGTGTTTTGGCCAAAAAAAAACAAATTTTCCTGGGGCAAACGATCTTCACATACTTACAAATGCTAAATGAATCCATAAATGAATCAGTTCGCTTTTTTTCTTAAAAGTTACGTTTTTGTAATCTCATAAGAGAGGTATAGCCATCTATGAAGGTCCATGTGGTGTGATGGCAAGCACAGATTAGTGTTGCAGTACAAGTAGATATAGAAAACATGACTTAAATTGGAAATTTTTCTTTGTGTACAGTATCCCTTTAAGCTGTTTGGAATAAACGTCTGTTGCACAACAGTATGAATTCATCATGTTTTGCAGGTCACTTTTTTTTTTGCTTTTAAAGATGACATTTCCAGCATAGAGTGGTACCCATTTTCATCTAAAAGTTGAATGTAAGTTGTACTATTTTTTTTTTTTTTTTTTTTTTGTGATATCTGCAGAATTCAGTTTTTGAGTTGGCACGCAGCCCAGACTTTGGTAGCCTACCAATTGTCATGGAGGACTTTATCAAGGAGAATGGTGCTGTATACAGTAGTAAGTCTGAATTATTGAAATTAAAGTCATACAGCCTTGTACTAGGAAGTGATGTTTGTTTATCATAATGTGTTTTCAGGACATAGCTTTTATATTACCACTTATGAATTGATATAATAGTTAAACAATTTTGTGAAGACTTAAAATATTTAATGAAAACTGTTTTGTAGTTAAAGCATATATTTTAATGAAGACCGTTTTGTAGTTAAAGCATAAAAGCAGGCCTTACAAATGGATTATCCATTAGCAAACTCAAGCCTCAGATGTATGAGCAATAATGCCCAAATTAAAGACTTAGCACACATATAAAATTAGCAGCCATGAGCACTGTGCTAGAAAACACAAATGGTAAATCCACTTACCTACTGGTATATTCAGTACATGCTGAAGATTGTCGAAAGCGCATTGCTACTATATTTATAGGCATATGTATATATATATATACATTATGGATATTAGATTATCGGAAAACCCTAGTATTATTTGTTTTTAGACATTTTATTAATTGTTTCTCTTTCATCAAAGAAGTATAAAGAGGAGAAAATAACTCTTTTTATGACCAGGAGTTTCCAAAAGCTCTGCCATGCTATTTCTCATATTTTCAGCCATTTTGAAATTAGTCCTTGGTTGAAATGAAGAACCCATACCATGTGTCCTGCCAGAGACCCTGATGAAAGCTGGCCAAAACGTTTGTGCTTTTTGATACTTTGCAGAAGGCTACTAATTTTATGATTGTGCACTGAAATCGTGGCTCAAGTCGTTAATTTGCACATTGGTGCTCCCAAATATGAGGCTCGTGATAACAAACGGCAATTATCGTTTTTTATCAGGGCTGAGAAGGCAAAGAACTATATATGGCACTTGATTTAAGCTCTCATGATTTACAAATAACATCCTGACTTTTACTCTTTTTCAGGTAGTGAGCCAGATGCTGTCCACATTGTTGTAGACAGACACCTCATCACTGGACAGAATGAGTCATCATCACTGATTGCAGTGCAGAACCTTATACTCCTGTGTAATCAGAAGTAAGTGGTGTTGTTACACAGATTGATAGCCATAAGCATTTGACATATTCTGCATATTCATAAACCTTATTGCCTCAGTTTATGGGTATTAATCTATTGTTAATACCTCCAGAAACAATATATCTGGACGTTTTTAGAACTATAGTATCAGCTGATCATAAGTATCTGTTTTAAATATATCAGTAGGTAATCAAAGCTATTGAAGGTCTTTTTCAGCATTTTGAACTTCTGAGATAACTTCAAAACATGGAAGTGACTTTCCAGGAAGTATTGTTGCAATAATTTATAGAGATTTGAGATTTAATGCTTGTATTATCCAAACATAGAAGCTTTAATCATTTTTATTCATATTTCAGGCAGGGAAAGCAGTCTTCAGCTCCAAGATGAAATACGAGTACTTGTAACAAATTGTTTTACTGAAAACAAAAGAGAAAAAGCATTTCTTTCATCCTGGAGTATTTGTCATTTAGTTTAAAACACTTGGACACTGTGTGTGCTTGGACAGTATCATGATCATGCCAAAACAAATTAATCTCTGTTTAAGATAAAAAAAAATGTAGTCTAGTGATCAAACATTTAATTTTATGTAACCTTTATTTAGTTTGTCTGGAGTAATCCATATGTACCTCTTTTGAAATTTAGATCTTTTATATAGGTCGTTTTTATTTTTACATGCTATTATGTTGCAGTTGTAAACAGATGTCATGTTGTAGCTTTTACTGTGATTGTCTTTATCATAAATCAAGATACTCATTCATAAAATTTCTGGAAGATCAGGTGGTTCTATCAATCATATCAGTCAGAAGGGGCCCAGTTGAATTATTGGATCTCCATGTTTAAGTCCTGGTGGAAGTTGTTATAGATAGAAGAGCCCCAAATATTTACTGGTTTAAATGACTCTCAATAGGGATGCGGATACTCTACTTAGATAATATTATTTTTTAAATTTCAATTTGTATTAGTATTGTATAGTTGTAGTTTTAATAAGGCTGAGCATTTCTCACAGAAAGATAAATGAATTAAAAGAAAAGAAAAAAAAAACAGTAAGGTCCTGTTTGTGCTGTGTTGCTGTCATTTAAGCAACATTTAAATTCATGCGTATTGCCTTCTTTGCACTCAACAAGGTTTCTTACTGTGCTTGAAAAACTGAGCTTACAGTCTACAGACACAAAGCTCCCCAAAATCCGAGTGCTGCCTTCAATAAATTGCTTAAATAAGTGCTGCTTTAAATTATTATCTACTAGACCCTAAAGGTGTAGTTATTTAAGAACCTAAACACCAGGGCCCAGTTTTATAAAGGATGTTTATCACTAACCAGTGGATAAGCCTAACCAGTGGATAAATTCTCCTAACACCCATTAACTAAAAGACGGTTAAAATGTGTTACATATACAGTGTTCTGACTGAACACCGTATAAGAAATAAGTTAACTGGCCAATGTTTAACTGGATAAAATAATTATTTAAAGGTCAGTTAACTAACAGACTGTTTAAACACTGTTTATGAAACACAATTTCATCCGTCATTTAGTTAACGGGGTTTAGGAGAATTTATCCACTGGTTAGAGTTAAACACTGGTTAGTGCTAAACGTCCTTTATAAAACTGGGCCCAGGTGTGTTATTAGCTTTCCACCCTCTGGTTACCGAGATGAAGTCAGTGTTAGTTCTAGCTACAGAAAACCATCAGTTTCAAGTAACAAAGAGAAACATAATGAATGTTTTAAAAATGTATTCTCTGCCTTAATTACAGAATTGTTTATGCATATAAATGGCAATCTGAATAGTAAACAAATAAATGTCAGTTATAATATTTTGTCTAAGAGTCAGCATTTTACCAGATTGTTAATGAATGATCTGTTGATACATCACTAAAGACATAAATACTTCTGCACATATGCCAACTCATTGAATGTCACGAATATGGTTGGAGGGGAAAGGAAACTTTGTACAAAATGATGTCAAATGAGAAGCTAATTTGAAACTAATGTCCATTTCATTGTTGTCAGCAAATGCCACCAACCATATTGGAACCCCAAATTTGGTATCAAATGGCAATACTTTTTTTAAGCACTACATATCTACATGTAGAACAAGTAACTGCAGGAAGAGAGGCATATGCAGAAAATGACCGAGAACAATGTTATATGGCACTTGTTTTGCTCTTAAGTGACAATACCTTAAATATATTTAGTTTTTAAGAAACAATAGATTGTTCTCCTATGCCCCAATAAATATGATGGAATTTTATTCAAAGAAAACCTAATATTTTGTGAACACTGACTAGAAGCCACATTAAGGCTTGTTGATTACAGTAATGCCTTTGCACAAATACCCTTTAGGCTAGTAGCTCATCTCAAAAATACTATCTCATAATATGTCTATTACAAGTACAGAGATGTCATTTGCAAAACTTGCCTCAACATTTCAATGTTACTTACACAGACTTAATATAAATATACAGTTTAGCCTTGTTACCCACATCCCTTAAAGGTATAAAGTTGATCCACCTCAGTATGACCCATTTTGGGGAGCTGTCTAATAATGATTAGCTTGGTCAATGCAGCATATCTTAAAACACCGTCTGTTGTCCATGTCAGTGTCTTTGTATAGCTATTACACCAGCTTTGCTGCTGATTTAGATAGCCTGATGAGGTTATGCCAGTAGGACCATCTCACCTCAACTGGAAACACCATTATGTTGAACAAAATCCATCCTCACACATGCTAAATTATAAATATTAATTAATCCATATGTAAAGGCCTTGACAAAAGAATAAATACACCTTGTTCACAGAAAATACAGGTTTCATACTTACTGACAAATATCACAGCATGTTGCTGCAACACGCCCTGGAGCAACATATGGAGAGTAATAATAGACCTTATGCCATTCATATAATTCTTTCGTAAAAAAATGTTAACCTATCAAACTGCCTAAAAATCTGCAACTACACTAAATACAGCTTATCTACAACAAATTCTGGTTCTAAAATCTAATGTATTTTTCAAGTAAATTGACAAATTAATCTCTTGTCACCATTTTACTGTGCATAAGCCATCTTCAAATCCAACATTGTTACATGTGACCCAAGTTTATGAAATATCATTATCGCTTCTTACACAGATGACAAAGCTTTTTTCACAACCAATTTGAACTATGTACACACAACATATTTTTAACATGTAGACTAAACAAGATTTGGCTAAAAATTGCCTCTGAAAACACCAGTTGTTAGCATCTGTAACAGAAAGACAGGTGCACATGATGTGCAGCACAAATATCATATCCTTTTTTTCATTCTTGATTACCTTTCAACCATGGTTTGATTTCTGTGCCTGAGAATTTTTTACTGTTGTTTTTGAGGCTGCTCCTGCTGTACTTGCCCATGTTGTGCCTGTTGCTGTAAATTTTGCATTGGCTGTTGCTGTTGTTGGGCCTGTTGCTGAGCCTGTTGTTGGGCCAGTTGCTGAGCCTGTTGTTGGGCCGGTTGCTGAGCCTGTTGTTGGGCCTGTTGCTGGGCATGTTGTTGGGCTTGTTGTTGAACCTGTTGTTGGCCCTGTTGCTGGGCTTGTTGTTGAACCTGTTGCTGAGCCTGTTGTTGGGCCTGTTGCTGGGCATGTTGTTGGACCTGTTGCTGAGCCTGTTGCTGGGCTTGTTGTTGAACCTGTTGTTGGCCCTGTTGCTGAGCCTGTTGTTGTGGCGATGCTTTTTGTTCTTGAGTCTGTGCAGTTTTTTGAGGCTGCTGAGCTTGTTGCTGTACCTGCTGTTGGGCCTGGACATGTTGTTGGGGCTGTTGCTGAACCTTTTGTGGTTGTCCTACCACCACCTTGGGTTGACCCTGTTCAGGTTTTTGTCCTTGTTGAGGCTGTTGATGTCCAATCTGTGGCTGTCCTGCATGTTCACTACCTATCATGTTAGGGTGCCCTTGCTGAAACTGATCAGGGTGTGGAGGCTGTTGAAACTGTCCTGGGTGTGGTGGTTGTTGAAACTGTCCTGGGTGTGGAGGTTGTTGAAACTGTCCAGGGTGTGGGGGTTGCTGAAACTGTCCTGGGTGTGGAGGTTGTTGAAACTGTCCCGGGTGTGGTGGGGGTTGTTGAAACTGTCCTGGATGTGGTGGGGGTTGTTGAAACTGTCCTGGGTGTGGTGGGGGTTGTTGAAACTGTCCAGGATGAGGGGGTTGTTCAAACTGCCCAGGATGTGGAGGTTGTCCAAACTGATCTGGATGGTGTCCAGGCTGAGGCTGAAAGGGTATCCAATATAATGCATGTTACCAGGCATATCTATACTACCCTCAATGAAGCATTTAGGCATTGTTAAAGTTAAACCCAACACCAAACCCTACACAATAGGAGTCCAGACCAAAGCATGAAGGGTATTGCCAATAACCAAGACTACTTTAGATGTAAAGAAATATATAAAAAAACAATTTTAAGATGAAAAATACCATCTATCACCAAAACACAGGAAATCTAACAAAAATAATTTTATTCACATTATAACAATTATAATTTACAAAATACTCAGAATTGGGATAAAAATGATAATTATAAAAACTAATTACTGAAAAGATTAAAATTCATGTCCAGTATTCAGTTTAAATATCTAACTGAATATCTTTAACAATAGGTGCCAGCTTAAAATAACTACAAACAACAGTATTAAACTACTTTCAAGCACAAGGGGCAAATTATTTGACAAAAAAAAAAAAAAAAAAAAAATTGAGATTGGTAATCATTTGAACTTAATTGTTTGTAAATATACACCAAAATCCAAGATCTTGTAAGGAAGCTTAAAATGGCTAGAGATAGATTCTTATTTTGGAGAGGAAGAGTAAAAGTAAATAAGTGATCTAGAAAATATGTTTGGATATAGAGATTGAAATGAAAGAGTGGCAGTTGATGTTGACATTGGGCATGAAGAGAAAACCATCTACAGCGCAATCAAAATAAGTTTCATTGGAGTATTTTGCATCAATAATTCGCCCCTATGCCTTTTAAACATGGGATTACATTACTTATCCCTTAAAACTAATACCCTAACAATGTAAACATTGATGATGGAAAGCTCCCTCAAACACTTTAGCTGACACCATAAAATGGGATTAGAACAATTCCAAATAAGTATTTCAACTGCAAGTTAGTTCTTGACCAAGTAAATCCTGCAATCCTAAATTTCTACGCGAGATAAATTGCACTTAAATTCCATCTCATAATATATGAGGTGCCACCTCTACCTTCACACATGCAAAACATCTTACCCTCAGAAGCTACACTGTTGCATATTCACTAACTTTTACTGATTAGTAGAATAATTTTTCTGATTTCATACTTATTATATTACACAGTACATAAATCCATAAATTCTATAAGCAATGACAACACTTTTTTCCAGCATCAAGGTATTACCTTTAAACAAATGGACTCTGGAAGTATCATTTACTACACCAGATTGACCATAAACACTGCAGCAGTACAAAAATTCAAAGAATTTCATAAAAGCAAATCTGGAGCAAATTTAAGCAAAAATACATCAAGAGAAGTTGTGAGCACTACTGTGCAGGGTGTGCTGGCACATCTGTGGATACCTGTTGTCCCATGTGCTGCACTCCTTGCTGTTGTGCATGATCCATTGGTGGGACCTGAAAGAAATGGGAAGACACGACCTTAGTATTAACACACCTAAGGTAGTTGTGGGTTAAAGGCCTTTCTTTAATCAGACATTTTATTTCACATACCATAAGAAAATGGTAAAACAAAATTACTCTAAAACAAAGAAAATACCATGTAGTCCAATGGTTGTCATTACAAGCATGCAACAACACTACATTTGAAAACTACCTAAAAAGTAATGTAAGGAATAGCAATTCTACTATTGCATATATTAATGACAACAAATTATGGTTAATGCATGAATTTTTTATCTGTGTAAAGCCAGTTCCTAATTTTTCTCAAGTAGTCAGGCGGTTAAGTCCAAATTATATCCAGAATTGTGCAAAAGTTGATAAAAGCATGAAACTTTCCACGATGAATGACCCTTAGGTGTTTGTCAATTTTGGATCGGGGGGCAACTCCAAAATTAACAAGTACCCGGATGAAACGCTTTCTTATATATGCTGACTCAGCATTTTATGTACATTCAGATTTCATCAAAACGAGCACTAACAGTACTAATTATGATATCATAAATAGATTTAAAAAACGTACGCTCACTGTGCACATCTATGAGGGCAATGATGACGTCACGATGACGTCACTGGGTGATATTGCACAATTTAGAATGACAAATATCCACTTTCTCCTACAGGAACAATAGTCGAACTCTGTAATGTTTTTTCCATAATTTTTTATTACAGAAGTGCATCCTTTAGGGTTAGAAAGGTAAAATTAGCTTGATTGCAACTTCCGAGACATTGAGCATTTTCAATATGGCCGTCAATTTTTGAGAAAAAACAGTAAAACAACCAGAAGTCGACGGATGTACTTTATTTGTGGCTGTTGTGAATGTGTTTCATGTCGGAAGAACACAGTAGGGCACAAGACTACATCCTAGCACGTCGTTGTTACTGATAAAAAACAAAATGGCCGCCAAAACATAGGGTAGAGGCAGAGGGTAAAGTAAATCAGCAAAATCAGCATATTTCTAGTATCATCAGTCTAATTAACGGCATCTTCTTCTTTGATTTTTCCGTTCATCGTGATTTTTCGTTAGCTTTTATCCTACACTACCATTATCTGCTTGTTTAATATTTAACTTATGTGTGGTGAGGGCGTAAGCCCTCCAAGTAGTCAGGTTACCAATCTTATTGGTCCCATAGTTGAACAATACTATGTTGTTTTCTGTAATTGTTTGAAAAAGAAATGCCCCTTATTTGGTCAGAAAAGTCATCTTAGCTTGGCTTTACTAACTTCTGGGACGTTGGCACTTTTCGTAACCCAAAATGGCTGCCAATTTTTACGCAAAATTAGATAAGTATTCATAGCAATTTACATCAAACTATATACAGTGCGTAAAGATTCTTCATTTTAAAGTCTATTTGCATGTTAACAAATACAGAGATGGTGTTTATTAGGATTTTCTTTCACATAATCTGCAAGTCATTTTAATAGAAATAGCAAAATAGCCACCAAAACGGCACGGAAAAGGCAGGTAAAAAGATGGTAAATTATGTTTTTCAGCTGAAAAAGATTTTAAACGAATGAAATCTGCATATACATTGTATGTCAGTAAAATAATACGCATGTGGTCAATGCAGGCAACATAATAAAACAGATTGGTTAACTAGATGTTACAAAGAGGAAAGGAAATATGTTCGTCAAATTTCTTCTTCCGTTAACCAGCCAGTCATCTCTGATATGTCAGCAGCAGCCCCTTAATGTTTGAAAAATACTGACCAATGCTAGGCATTTCCAACTTTTATTAGATTTTTTAGCAAGCTTGCCGTTAAATTATGAAAGCTGAAACCTATCAGACCTTCAAGCAGCACCTGACAGCGCTGACAGAGGAGAAGGTAATTTTTATATTCGTTCAAGTACGGATTTCGTTTGCAGGAGATCGTCGGCGGTAGGTGATTCGCCATCGGAGTAAGATGCGAAGCCAATTTACGAATCTTCAGAGGGAGATCGTTTGCAATCCAAGCGAGACGAGAAGGCAATTTTCATATTGGTTCAAGGGATTTTGTTCGCGTAAGATTGGCAGCGGTAGGACCCAGACGCCAAGGCAATTTTCATACCTTTAGCAGGAGGTTGTTTTCGATCCGAGGGAGACGAGAAAGCAATTTTCATATCCGTGCAAAGGACTTCGTCAGCGGCAGATCGTCAGCGGGCGATGGCTTCGTTTCCTTCTACCTTTGGTGGGTTAAGGGGGCATAACAATAGCAAAGGTGTTTAAAATTATTGTTATTCATAAATTTGAAGTTGTGCTTCTTTATTCTGACCACATGGGTGCCAAAAATCCTAGGAATATGTCCCGACATCGTGTCTATCTCCAAGAAAAGCCACACGGAAGGCGTACTGCAATTGCACTGAGACTGAACAGACTCGGTATGATCACTTTCACCCGACAAAGCGAATTTTCCCTACATATCCTTTAGTCTGGGTCATACGGGCTTCTATGTTTGGTCTACGGCCAAAAAATTGATGTCAAGTTGTAAAAATGCCTAAAAAGACAGCAAAGAGCAAGAGGGGAGAGGGGGATCGGGGACAAGCAAAGTATGATTGGGCTCACCATCTTTGAACACTGATGCGGATATAATGACTTTCTCAAACATGCACCTGTTTTTATACCTCCCCCAAAACATCTCAACACGTTAGATTCCCTTCCAAAGGACGAGCAACAACCAAGGCTGCCCTACGTCTACTTGCGTTGCCTTTGCGTTGCCTGTACTCCTTGTACGCATAACGTACGTAGTGCACGATGCGGGACACGTGCTAAAGCCCGTCGGGCGCAGAGATACTTCTGACGTGCGGAGGCTGAGCTTCTCAGGTACTGTCCCCGCACTTTCTTCTTGCGCACTAATTACAATCACCAGTTACTTGATTTCTTCCCTGCGATCTAGCTACGGCCCAGCCAGACGAGAGGAACCTAAAAAAACCGTACGTCCTGAAACTCGTGCGTGGAGCCTATGTCCCAACCGAACGTACGAGCTGCTACGTGTGGTCTACGGCCAAAAAAAATGGGCAAAACGTGGGAGTTCGTGCGTGAGGAGCACGTCCATCTTGCGAGTTTTGGAGGACGCAAACAGCACGTAGAAACTTTTCGACATGATCAACAGCTGCTACGTGCGATCTAGCTACGTCCTAGCAGGACGCAAGGAACCTAAATACCGTGCGTCCAAAACGTAGTTGGGACCTAGGCTTTAGCGACAAGACACGGCACAAACCTGTACTGTAGAGGTAATTGCCGTTGCCCGTAGCCACTTACGATGTCATAAAAATCCCACAGAAAACGTGTACGAGTTCATTGTACGGCGTCCGTAGCAAATGTCATTTAGACTTTGGCGATCCAAACGAGATGAAGAGGCAATTTTCATATCGTCAGCGGAATATCGGTAGCGATCCGAGCGAGACAAGAAGGTAATTTTCATATTTGTTTTAGGGACTTCGTCAGCAGAAGATCGTCAGCGGGAGATAGTTATTGATCCGAGCAAAAAGAGAAGGCAATTTGAATATTTGTTCAAGGGTCTCATTAGTGGAAGATCGTCAGCAGGAGACCCGGTGGTTAGGATGCGTTCATTCGCAACTGAGTGAAATATGCTAATGTCTAGCCCTGCAAGAGCAAAATTTATTCACATGGTTGAGATGGTAACAACTGACTACTGAATGTTCATTTTGCATTAAAACGTGCTCTAGCAGTTCAGACTCCCACCAAAAAGAAATTGCCAAAATAAGTCCGTAATTGATTTTTAAAATATTTTTTATACTACTTTTTAAATATTTTTATTTATACCTCCCCTCCTTTGAAAATTTTTCTTTCTTTCTTTTTTTTTTTCATTTCATTCCTTTTATTTTTGAGTGTCAAACAAGCTGATAATGATAGGTAAGGATCATGGCTAATTAAAAATCCAAATGAACAGAAAAATCGAAGGCATAAAAAGTTTTAATTAGACTAATTTTACAAGTTATAGACTGATTATACTGCTAAACTTCATCCTCTGCTGTATGCGTTGGCGGCCATTTTGATTTTTCAATAACAGAAACATGCTAGTATGCCGTCATTTATCCTACTGTGTTCTTATGACGGGAAATGTGTTCATAATAGCCACAAATAAATTATATCTGTCAACTCTTGGTTGTTTTTCTATTTTCTCTAAAAATTGACGGCCATATTGAAAATGCTCAAAGTCTCGGAAGTAGAAACCAAGCCAACTCAACCTTTCTAGCCCTCAAGGATGCATTTCTGTAATGAATGTTAACAGAAAATATCATTTCAGGGTTCGACTATTTGGCATATGCGAGTGAGTCGATATTTGTCATTTTGTATTGTGCAATATCACCCAGTGACGTCATCATGACGTCATCATTGCTGTAATAGATGTTAGCAGTTAGTGTACGTTTCTCAAATTTATTCATGTTATCATAATTAACGCCGGTAGTGCTCGTTTACGTGAATTTTGGATGTACATAAAATGCTGAGTCAGCATATTTTAAGAAAGCTGCTCATCCGGGTACTTGTGAATTTTGGAGTTGCCCCCCGATCCAAAATTGACAAACACCCAATGGTCATTCATCGTGGAAAGTTTCATGCTTTTATCAACTTTTGCACAATTTTTTGGCTTAGCCGCCTAACTAAAGTATCTAACATACCCCACCTTAAATTGTCAAAGTGAATGTCACTGCGCAAACCTCTGCTTTATATCACTTACATTGATTTCTCCTGGTTGAGCATGATGTCTTGCTAACTGTTCCTCATACTCTCTCTGGAACTGTTCTAACTCTTCCTGTGAGTACTCTGGCTCCTGCTCATCTAGTGTCTAAAAACATATATTGCCATTTATTGCGGCAAATCTTAATTTCACCAAAATACATACAATAAAGCGCAAGTTATGAATACCTGACTTAATGAAAATTGTGCTATCCAACAAACTCAAGCCTGTAATTTTTCTATATTGGAACTCCTTCTCTAAGGCAGACTACTGACTAAAAGCACAGTTGGTTATTTTTAATTTTGGCGCTTATGTTACCTTCCACCCCTCATCTTTTTGAAACTCTGCTTGCTTGGTGCTGTCAAGAAACTCATCCATGGAAATCATGGCATCCCTATTCTTATCAATCTCCTTGTAGACATGCTCTCTCATACGTTGCATCTCCTCCTCTCTCTCCACCATGTCATCCTCTGGGGCATTGGGGTCATAGACTTTGTCTAGCTATAAAGAAATGGTAATAAAACATAACTGTTTCTGTTTGCCTTTATGTCTCCTGACAAACGATATAAAATTTACCAACAACAACATTACGTGACAAAAAAATTCTTTTCCTTAAAAAAGGATATAAGGCTCTAATCAATTAAGAAATTTATATTTTGTGAAGCAGCTAATTCTTTGGGAGATTTTCATGCATTTTATATAGGTTCCTTCCTTCAATAATAATAATAAAAAAAAACAAATGTGGTAGCATTGTGAGTGTCATAATGATCTGACACAAACAAGATTAACACTGTTTCCCACTTTAATCTAACACAAAAATCACAGTATACCTCCTTTTGAAAAAGTGCCTCCACTTCATCAGGTGTCAGCACACCGTCCCCATTAGTGTCTGAAATGTCATCAAAATTGTTTACATAGTTTACAAGTCCTTATTTAGTCTGTTTCCAGCACCAAGTGAAAACAATCAAAAGAATCTTATGGCCACTGATGTAAATACATCCTTAAGAGATTTTTGATGAATGTGAACAAATTTTTCAATCAAAATGCTGTATCCAAAGAAAATATCTTAATTTCATTTAATCTGAATGATATCCTTTACCAACTTTTACAATCATCTGCACTGATGCTCTACATGGAGTTCAATGTCCATTTTCTAATTAATGCTGCTTACTGTTGTAAACATAGTATCCTCAAATCATGTTATAGATATCAACTGCAATTCTGCAAAGCTTGCTTTTCTATAATACAGACATTCATCACAGTGCTTTCTAGATTTTAAATTTAAGAGGCTAAAGTCACACAAGTTCATAGCTATGGAACTTTACATTTCTTTATAGCTAGACATCAAATTTGTCAATGAATAATCATTATGAAGATTTTGAAACACTTCATATCCACTGTTAAACCCCAAAGTGTAACATAAATGCATGAATTTTTTTCTGGGCATTAATATCAAATATTGCCCTACCATGCATGTGGAAAAATGTTGCCGGGTCAAAATCATTTGGATCCATGTGATCCTCTTCTTCCCAAACTTCTTTTAGCTGTTCTTTGCTACCCTGTCATGACCAAAAAAATAAGAAACTTCATTCCATGAACTAGAATTTTCAAACATTCTTATCTATTTTGTTACTCAATTATGTTTGCAACTAATGACTGCAGCACTCTTATTCAGAGAAATGTTAATTTTTCTTACAAATTTCATTCCTTTTTTGAATTATCAATGGTTTACTTTTTGAATTCCCAAAAGGCATGAAATGAGATTTCACTTTACAATACTGGTTCTATAAAATATGCCCACTCTTCAGTCAAAAGGCAAACCACCACATATAAAAGCTTGACATATCTAAGTTTAGTGTCTTGCTTGGATTCAAGATTTCCCAAATTGTTACAGTCAATATAATAGCATCTTCTTTATCAGTTCCCAAAAATGCTTTATCACTGGTATTACAATTTTAATTCCTTACCGGATGATGTACTTTAGGATGTTCCTTATGTTTCTGTTCCATCTCTTTTATTTTTTGTTCTTCCTTTTTCCTCTCTTCTTCTGGCATATTTTTTAATTTTTCTCTCTCCAAAACTTCTTTCTGTATTTCATATTTCTTGAAATCCTCTTTTCTCTTCTTGTCTGCTTCTTCTAAATCTGTGGTAGCCTGTGAATGCAATACAAAATGTGTGGTAAATTAATATTTACGGGGACTCAAAGAGACCATTTATAACATTCTTACATTATTCTCCACTGCCATTAGATATCAGCAACAGCTATTTCAACTTAAAAGCCAAAAGAAAATTGAAAAAATACACAATCATCAATGCACATGGATATTTATTACTACACAACATACTTCTATGGTTCTTTACCTGCTTGATCAACTTGGCAAGATCTTCCACTTCAAAGGTGTGTGGATTTTCATGGTCTAAATGTTTTTTATCATCAAAATTTACCTTGCCAACACCTACAACACAATAAAATGACTGAAAGCAGTTTTTAATGTAAGTACAGCACAATTTTACCAAATCTTGCAGTCCCAGACCCTGAAAACAAAATGCACATTAAACAGGTCACACGCTACATGGCACATTCAGTTTATGTAGGTCAATAAATCGCTTTGACACATGAACTGTTGTGCAATGCTTTGATCTGTTTAGGAAAGAAATGCTATGAATAAGATGAACAGATTGGCAGTATTTAAAGAGGACACGATAAAAATAAAACAAGCATAATGTTAAGTCAGAACTCCATGCATAAAAGCATGCAGTTTCTGATGCACTCTTTAATATGCACACTGTAGCTCTCATGCTGATACCACATAATCCTTAAGAAAGCCACCAGTTATGCAGATGTCTCTTTACTCATGGTTCTCATTACAGACAAATAAAATTAGTAAAAAACAATAAACCAAAATATTTATTATCTAAAGTAAATTACATGCTTAATCGTAGCCACTTGATTGAACATTTCAACAATTATAGAACAAAGAAAACATGCCTTTCATTTCAAAAATATATCTGCCAAGAAACAGCTTTACTTAATTCAAGTTCTCTTATGTGACTGATTAGTAAAACTACTGAACATTCAAACAATAAGGTGTATGACTGGACATGACATATTCATCCGAGAGCACAATTATGCTCTAACTGTTTGCTTTACAAATCTGTTAGCAGGCCAACAAAAAATTGATATGAACAAAAAAGTTCAAATGAAGAATCAAATTAAACCAAATAAAACTAAACTTATGACTGGAGCTCATCTATATCAATTTATGACCATTCTACGAATGCAAAAAGGATTATAAAATTTGGATTTCTAAATTTTTCTTATTTCATTTGATAAAATTAAGGATTTTACAGTTAGTGATTAGTTTGCAAGACTATTTTCTGACACAATTAGTAAAAAGTTAGTTTGCAAGACTATTTTCTGACACAATCAGTAAAAAGAGAAGCCAAATTCAATTACATGGGATAGATATTATCATAAATATATTAAATGGTAGTATATATAGTATAATACGTAGTAAGCACAGTGCATCACTTTTAGAGCTCAATTTTGAAGCTCAAGTCATACTCCAGATTAAAAAAGCTTTTACTGTAACAAAGCTGACATGCTTTATTCTGTACATATCAAAATACATCCTAAATTGTTCAGTCATGTTCAATATTTTATTTGGTGCAAAAGTAAAATAAAGATGAAATTAAAGTAATAACATAAAAAATATAATTCAGTAACAAGATATATAAGGCAGTGAAAAGACAGGTTAACTAAAAAGAAGATGTCTTTCTAGCAAACCATAAACTTATCATTAATAAACAAAACAATAAATCTTCCTTCCAATAAGCCCATCATACGTTTTCGTGAAAAATAAATAAAAAATTAATCATTAAAAGTAATGTTATAGGTTCAACTTAAGTGTGATATGTAATAGAAAAAATCACAGTAAAAATTAGACTAGAAATTCATATATTTATATCAAATAAACCATGGCTGATATATAATTTATAAACAACATCTTAAATAGCATCATATATGATCGGCTTAGTGAAGGATAAAGAAATATAAGTAGGAGATAAAAAGCATACTTAACTGTAGTTACAGGAGGAAAGGCAAGCAACCTAATCTAGACAAAGCAAATTACAGGTGGGTGGTTCACTGTAGCCAGACTGTGATCTGATGTCAATGTCCGGTCATCACACTGCAATCTTTACACTCTTCACATTGCCCTTCACTGAAGTTTACTGTTACCAATACTTTGTCTCAACTTCAATCAAATGACTCAATGGAATAGCATGTAACAGCCATTACACGTGTTAAGTGACTGAATTCTTTTGACATTTCATAAGTTGGAAGATTTGTGAAGACTTTGTGTCAATAAGAGTTTCAACAATAATACTGAAGTAAATCTCCTTCAGAAAAAGACTACACTCTTTAAAATAGATCTTAACTGCCACTGCTACATGGGATATTTTAATTAGTTTTAAGTGCAGTGCAACTTTGAAAGTACTAAGGTACTGGTAGGTACAGTGGACCTTCAATGCCAGGGCTATGTGGGGTTGTGACAAATTAGGTTCATGCATAGCCTACCTCCATGATAGACAACATTATGCAAGATTTGTTTACCATTCATTTCACGCATGCGCAGACGTTGAGCTTCTTTTAGACGCCCAATCTCTCGACGTTTGATTTCATCTAATTTAGTACGTACACTGTGATGTACGAAGTCCAGGTGTTTAGCTATTTCACCACTCTGAAAAGAAAATTTACTTCCTCAGAAATACAACTTGTTTCATTGACATGCGTTAAAATGAAGACACAACAGAGCAAATATCTTTCACACAAAAATATCTAGTAAATCAAGACAAAGTGGATCTCACAATGTATGAGGAAATGGTTAATTATAATTTGAAGGTTACATTGCAGAGTTAATTTGAATTACAGTTTTGTAAATTACCCTGGTTAAGGAAGGGCATTAACTATAGAAAAATATGTCAACAAATTTAGGAACCAAAACATTTATATATTTAGTCAAAATAGGTATCTTTGTTTTATCAAAAACTGCGGAAAGTTTGAAAACATACATGCAGCACCCACAATTAATAAAGAATTCATTGCAAACCCTTCAATCACACATAACTGAATGCTTAACTCACACTAGCATATTGCATATTCACCCAAGAATTAAGAACATATGTTGACTGAAGAAAATGAGAAATATTTTAGTAACACACAGATTTTATGAACAATGGGTATTTGGTTAAACAATATGCTATGTGACCCTAAACCATGTTGCTGTTTTAAAATTCGATCACACCACAGAGTGCAAATATCATATAAAATGTTGAGTTAAAGCCAACACCAGATGTTAAGAGACAGTATATAGGATTTTGGATATCATGAATATTTCTTTTCTCTTTGCCAATGCCATAAAGGTATGCCACTTCTTTTTACCATTACATTTTCATAATAAGTGCAGAAAAGTGGTTTTACAAAACATGTTTGTTGGGTAGCTATGAGTTTGAAACTCTACACATAGTGACAGCTGGCTAGTAAAAAGTGTTGATGAGGACATCAGGAAAATAATACCAAAATCCTCTATAAGCTCCCTTCATCTTACATGTCTGCTTCTTTGTAAACTCTGAAAATATTTGTTAATTATCTCAAAGCCCGCACCTCATTAAAACCTCCCTTAGCCTGCACTTCTTCCATTTTCTTTCTAAATTGGTCATCAGTATTTAACACGTCCATTACCTCCAGAAGGTAGGCCTTATATGCTAGAGAATCCTAGTAGAAAAAAGAGGGTGTTATGACAGTTTGTGCATGCTCTCTGACACCGTAGATATCAGACATGGATGCATTTTGTGAACAGGTCAATGTGAGAATGAAAAAAGGGAATATCTTTTTTCATGATAATCCCACATTAGATACACTCTGAACACTGTCTTGATATACATCCATATCTGAGCACACCCAATGGATGAAAAACAGATGTTTCCCAAACCTAAATATTACCTTGATTTCAGACACATTGGCACTTTCTAGTCTCTTACGGAAATTTTCATCCTGCTCAAGGGCATCCACTACCTCTTTCAAGTAACGTTCATATTCTAAATTTTCTGGCTGTAAAATGTGTGTATATTTAATATAAAAAATTTAAGGAATACTTTAAAAAACAATTATTGCACAAAATGACACCCAAAACTTTATTTAAATCCCATAGACCTAATTCAGTAAAAAAAAATCATGTTGTACACAATTCTTAAAAAATGAAAAACTCTAAGCTGGTGATAGTAATTTAAAATCCAAAAATTAAAATCTAAAATGAAAATAAAAATTATTAAAACATTAATTTGACCATACTAAATGGAAATGATGTGGATTTCCTAATCATGAAAAAAATTCTCACCAAGGCATCTTCTTCTGGTCCTTCCACTGGTTCCTCTTCTTTTACTTGTTTCTGTACAGGAGGACAGACTATAAACTGCACCAGAAGACCAATAACTAATACAGCTAAAAGATTTAAAGACAGCATCTGAAACGAAATGAACTATAATGTTACATGCTACCAGACATTTTTGTCAACATGACTTTCCTCATGAAGTATCAGCTCATGCCTATATTGTATAACCATATAAAGGTATTCATTTTGTTCAAACTGGTTATTCATTTTGACATATGTTGTACACGATAGGACTACTTAAAGGCTTTCTGCATAACAATGTCCCTTTGAAAAATGATGATGTGTTCACGACTGCATTATTAGTAAATTTCCTAAGTATAAACAGCTTTCAACATGCAACAAAGATAATGTTGAGATAGCCAAGAAATTCAAATGAATACCAAGTACCAAACAGAACAAACGGAAAAACTAGCTGCTAAATATGCATGTCATATTATTTCTGTTTAGCTTGTTGAGATATTCTGAAATGTCATATCATGTTTTAGCACTATATCTGCAAGTTTCAACTGTGCCATATTGGTTATTTCAAGAATCATTACATGATGCAAACATGTGCAAAATGGACTCGCATTCCCACATGAACAGACATACATGTATGTCTATATACATTGTATCATCGCATAACTGAACCATTTAACAGTCCCAAAAGAGTTATGTAATCATGATAAGCATTCTCAACATGCTTTGTAATCTGAACCATGGAAAACAATTTTGTGTTCACTTGATATCAGCATCACAATTTCCACTACATACAGAATTTTATATGTCTTGGTTGCGCCACATAAAGGCAAACAACGCAATGAAGTAACTTCCAATAACATAACAGACATATGGTAAAAGTGATCAAATGCAAAATAGTGTTTACTTTTGTAAAACTGATATAAAACTGTAGTTTACAGAAATTAAATCTCAAGTATTAATGGTTGTGCAATTCAGTATAAAGACCTATCAATAATTCTAAGTAAATTCCAATAATTGAGGCAAAAGTGTCGCCGGCGAAACTGCTTCACGACATATGGCGTTGATTACATGTGCTATATCAGAACATGTTTCTATCAGAAAACAATACTCACGGTGCCTTATTGATTTACAGTATCTTCAACTAATTGTAGAGTATTCTGTTTGACACGTCCGTGCGGTGAATCTATTTAAACTGAGGGTGGAACAAGGAACTTAGTTTACAGCATGACGTGTCCTTTAACGCGGCCTCGTTTTGTGTGGCTATCAGTGGTAGGTACTTGCTTATCTTTCACCTCTTGCCGTAAACTAGTACTAAGCACGTATCCAGAGGGCAGTTCCACATTACAGAACATTTCTGTCAACATATTAAAGTGTGTGCTTGCTGTACAAGGACCGTGTTAGCAGATATGTTACAGGACAAAGTAAGTTAATTTTATTACAGTGGCACAAATATTGTGGACATTTCATAATACAAATAAAAAACTTGAAATGTCTGCAGGGAATCGTCCTAGGCAAATGCGTGACACTGAGTGAAGGACTGAAAGTAAAAAAGATTTAGCAGTGATGAGTTTTGATAAGATCTTAATTCCATTAGTCAGCATAAATTGAATGCAATAAAGGGTCTGGTTACAATATAATTATCTAGTGTAATAATTAGATGCAGAGTTGGATCCGACCGAGCATTCGTGGTTCATGTAGACGCGGACACGTATGGAACCGCATTTGATTTTAATGCCTTTAAGCCACACAAAACCATCCTCACCTTTATCAAAGTACAAAGAACAGAGTGCTAGAGCATGTTTAATTATTAATTTTTTTTGTGCTGCAATATACTTTTAGGGTAGCCTAATGCTGGTCTGATGTCTTGAATCCTTTTTACAAGGACTTCTCACTTTAGTGAGGGTTACTACAATTTAAGCAAAAATAATTTAAGTTCCGGACATAAAGTGGGTCACTAGCTGCCCAATATTTTTCAACTATATGCACCAATATCTTTGATGCATAAGAACAAATTAATTCTACATATCAAAAAACCATAAATGGGAGTGCTAATGATTGAAACTTCCTGACCACTAACTCTTGGCTTGCCTGTTTTGGCCCTGTTGTCAGTAAATGCCCAGGACAGTAGCATAATTGAATCAAGTCATATTTTACTTAATGAGTCTTGAATCTAACTTTTTGGTGTAATGTTCTGTTGAGCTGGCTGAATTTAAGTTGCCCCTGTATCACATTATTTTATTATAAAAAATTGGTTGACTTTTTGTGTATGCGTATGTGTGATTAAAAAAATGAACAGATATTTTTTTCAGAAACGTTTTCTCAGTTAGGGGTGATGATTTGAATGACTTCTTATCTATGGGTGTCTTCTTTCCTTTTAGATTTGTCAGTGCAACTAGAAAGGTACAGTTAGCAAACTGCTTTAAAATGAATTGTTTTTCTTTTTTCACCTAACATGTAAACTTTACATGTTGAATGTCAATATTTTGGTTTGTTCAGTTGAAGTTCTTTTTTCATTATTCCAGACATAGAGATTAGCACTGATACAGACAACTGTTAAAGTAAGAAGAGAAAATATAGTCATGAGTGCGCCTGACCCCTGGAAACCTCTAAAATTTTCTACACAGCCATCACAAAGGCTATACCCAGACTTAGACAGTGCTTCCTCAACCTCTAGTAAGCAAAATGGCAATGATCAAAAATACCAGTCAGATTTGGAGAAGGCATTAGCTCTGAGCCTGGAGACTGCAGAGACAGATAGATTGAAGCGCTGGTCTCAAGAACCAGCAAGGGAATCAACAGGTAGATAAGTTTATTGCAGACATTTAAAAAAAGATTGCAAACTTTGGTATTTTGTTCAACTACATGTATATATTTATTAAATGCTCAGTTGCTTGTTTTATATTTAAATGTATTTAACTTAATTGAATTGATTGTTATAGATGATATTGTTAAATGGCCAGTGGTTATAGTGATGTTATATAATCTTATTTATAATTTACGAAATTTGAAGTTTATTATGGCAAATTGTATTGATTTAATTTTTTTTATTTCCAGTGCGAAGCTCAACAGCCAGGCCTAGACCTAGAAGTAGTGCTGCTGCTAGTGTATTGGTATCACCTGAAAACAAATCAGGAACTCCTACTGAGTCAGAGTTACCACTGATAATGTTCTCACCTGACAGTGTAGAAAAAGTGGAAAAATTCAAGAATGAATTGAAGTCTCTAACAGAGAAGGGTTCTTACCAACAGCATCATCCTGCACAGCTGAACTTTGCCCCACCTTCCCCACAGTCTCATGGCATACCAAGGTCAATGGATAATAATCTTAGTGCATTTGGGGGAAGCACTACTTCTCCCAGTGGAATGGCACAGAATAACTTTTACATTTATGGCAGGAGTTCTCCTCAGCCTCAGCAACAATTTTTCAAACCTTTTCAGCATTTAGAAGAAGTATCCATAGCCAAACCCTCGAGTTCTCCAAACCTTCAAGCGTTAAGCCGTGACAATCCAGCCAGATGGAGTAGTGGAAGTAGTTCAAGTAGGACTAGTTGGGGACTGGTTAATTCCTCCCATCCACCACAGGGGGCAAGTTGTTTAGTGAGTCCAAGACAATCTGCAGGCAATCCCTTAAACTTAACAACAACAACTCTTCCAGCATTGAATCCAATGTTGTCCAGATCAGATCAGTCTCTAAACTCCCTAAGCAGCTGGGATCCACAAAGCATTCATTCAAACTCAAATAGTGCAGTGTCTTCCACTTCTGAGCAAGATACATTGAACAAAATTAAGAACAGAAACCGTATCTCTAACTCTGCAGACCTGATGGAGTTTGGTGATGACATTACTTTACCTAAGCACAATGAATTTTCATGGGAAAGTTTTGACCCATTGTATTCTCTGACTGGTAATATGATTAGTGCTGAACAAGGACCACCTGTTACATTGCCCAGAGATGCCCCTAAAGAAGCTTCAGATAGTGATAACAAGGACGAGAAACCAAAACAGTCAAAGTCACATACCTATGAGAATGTAGTTTTAGACGACTTGGCATGGGGTGGTGCTTCAGAGACATATCGCGCCCTGACAGACTCTGTGAATTTTGAGGGTCTAAGCTGTGGAGAATATGTGCCAGACTTTGACCTGCAAGACCCCTTTTCTATAACTGAACTAAGCCGTGTTCAGGAATCCAAGAAAAAGAAGGATGAAAAGAGGAAAGATGATGAGCCTGATTCAACATTCATTAGGAAGGAGGTAGTTTCAGTAACTATGAAAGAAGTGGCAAGTGAGAAACCCCCAAGACCACCAAAACCACAATATTTGAAGTATTCTCAGGTAATAAAACACAGTTTTGCTATTTACTGATTGATATTCAATTTGTGGCCAAAATAAGTATGATATTCACTAAATTGCCAGTTACATTTATATGGTAGCTACTATGTTGAATTAAACTTTAACATTAAGAAACAATTTACCTTGTATTTATTTCTTTAGAACCAGGTCTCTATTTCTGAGAAGAGCAGCTTTAATGCTGAGGATGAGACACAGGCATTTTATAACATGGTGAAAAGGTAATTCTGCAAAAAAAAAGAAATGTTTAATTTAACAATTCTAAAGATTTTTTTTAAAACGGTAAAGGAGCACTAAAATTATAATAAATGTCAGGCCTATAATGATTACCAGACTTGCTTGCAAATATAACCAAATGTATTTGATGATTTTCTAGACTTAAGGCAGAATACCTGTCAGATGACATTGTGAGCAACCCTGGTATTGTGATCAGTGCCATGGATGAAAGCTTGCCTCTGCCAGATAACATGTCAGTCAAAGTTGTTGTGGAAACCAAATTATCAAAAGAACCTGTTGTATTCACATGTAATGGTAGGTTGTTTGACATTTTCTACCATGCAATGTCTGTTTTTTTAGTTAGAATAATGTCACCTGTGAAAAACACAATTTTGCACATAAATTTTGAGTATTGATATAAGATTCACATTGACTTAATCTCTATATATGTGGTGAAAAATGCAGTTTTCAGATTTAAGGTGTATATTTAATATTTAACTAAATCATTCAGAGTATTATTGTGAAGTAATTCGCATTTGTTTTTTTAAGTGAAAACTAGTGTTGAACACGTGATTGGTCATGTTCTGTGCAGTGTATGTGAAGAAGGTCGAGGCTACAGTGTGTCAGCAGAAGACTATCTGGTCAAAGTTCATGACCTGTCAGAATACTTTGTTAAGTGAGTAAGGCATGTTGGAATGATCATCAAAATGAAAAATGAGTAGATATAAAAATTGGCTAATGAAAGTAACTGAATGAGTTAATTGTGCCCTGTAAGTATATTGTGATAATAATGCATATCATAACAGACCAAATTTAAGAATTATCTATTTTGAAATATTGCAACCCGAAGGTTGAAGTTATACATACACATGTATATATATATACTTTTTATTTATTTTTTTATTTTAAATGAAATTTTATTTAAATCCAAGAAGCCTGGTCATTTTTGGCCCAGTTGCACTCTGTTGTCGCTCTCACCTCCCTGGGGAGGATACAGCCCGGCTGCCATATTAGGCACTCTGAGCTAACCAACGTATCAATTCACCACTGCCCAACCAGGCCCCTGCTTCAACCCCTTTGTGCTGAGTGCCAAGCGGGGAGACAGCAGGTACCGTTTATAAAGGACTGGTTTGTCCCTGGATGGGTTTTGAACCCACGTCCTCCCGCTCCGGAGGCGGACACTCTAACAACAAGGCCATCCGGTCGGTTATAATTGTCTTGTTTTTTCTTTTAAGGATGTGACATTTTGCTTTTCTAGGTCTATGGTTTGTTGGATCAGTGATCTAGGAGTTGTTGAATTATCTGTATTGTAAAAAGAATGATGTGACTGAAGTATTTCATTATTCCAGTGACTCTGTGTTTGGAGACTATGAATATGTGCAGAGGTGCATTAAGTTGGATGAAGATATTAGATTGATCATGGTTAAGTTGGAAGACCTGACAAAACAACTTGCTAGAGTGGTAAGTTTACTTATTTTCAAGGGATGACAAATTATGAAGGTGACATTTTGAAAACGAGTAATTTTCTTTTACAGAGTTTCTTTCAGAAATTGTTAAGCAGAAGTATAATTAGTAAGATGAATTGTCCACAAACATACTAATGAATGGATATTCAAAGTAGTCATAGATGATTTTGTTTTCTGGCAGATTTTCAGAAATAATGTTAACATACTGTTTAACATTGTTTTCTGCTAAATTAAGATTTTTTTTCCAGCCTCTTGATGATAGAAAACCTTTGGTTGTCCACAGACCTGAAACTCACACGAGAAATGCTGTGTCACAGTAAGTTGAACTTTGGCAAGAAATTCAAAATTGATTCTGGTTTGTATTCAATCTTGGTAAATTGTCTGATATTGAATAGTTCTTAATTTTCCTTGTCCATCTGCTCAAAAATTAAGTGTCATTTAAAAGCTAGCTGTTGTAGGGTAAAATATTCCAGGTGTTGGGGTATATTAAGTGTCAAGATTAAATGAGCTTAATTTAGTTGGATGTGCCATATGAAGCATTTTAACTTCACTGTCAGAAAGAAGAAGTTGTCACAAATGCAAAATAGTTTCATGAAGTATTTCACCCCAGTTATTCCACACCATATGCAGTAACTATTTTTAATTCATTCAGAGACCATCTTAAGATCCTCTTAGAAACATTTGACAAAGAAGTTGAGAAAATTCGTGCAATTGCAACAGAAAAGGTGAGTGGAAATATGTGTTAAATTTGTCCATTGAAATCATTCAGTCCTGAATCTTAAAAATTAAAAATGCCCTGAATTACTGGTTTTTACTTTCTGTAAATTTTTATCATGTACAGGGTTAATATGGGCGTAATGTTCTCATTTGGAAAAAGAAATTTGTTTTCATGAACTATATACAACTGTTCACCAATACCATTCAATGTTCATGTATGTGGATTTTAGACCTTGTCCAAACTACAGCCTAAGAACCTGATCCAAGCAGTGCATGCAGTCTGTGCCATTCTTTTTAAACTGGAGACTAACAGCATCACAAAAGCCATCGCTAGAATGACAGCTGTTGCAGAATCATGGGTAGGTTTTACATTTTCTCTGTTTTCTGATTATAACAGATTCCTTAGTTGCCACATACTTGTCAGGAAAATCTTATTTATTATTTGTTTCATAATCTATTGAATAACTTCATGCTAAGGAACAATGTGCTCTATAATGACATATTTTGCTATACCAAGTGGCATTTTGTTGTATCCCATGATGTGTTCAAAATATACTTGTTCTTTAGTAAAAGTTATAACTGGAATGATGACAAATGTACAGGGATTGAGGAATTAGTTTTATTCAGTACCAATACATTCCCACTCTACATGCTCTCTAGCATGAAGCCCTAAGTTTGCCAGAAAAAGAGGTTCAGATGGATGAGCTTGCCAGTGCCTTAGATGAGCTGACAGTAGCTGTGCATCAAGTGGTCAAGCTGTACTGTAAGATGTACTATCTTGAACTACCACCTGGTGTGGAGAAGAGGCAATGTACAGGTGAATAAATCTGGTCACATTTTTTTATAGAATACAAAAGGAGTGGAAAATATAAACTTCATTTATTATTTTAAAAGTTGATCCAAGTGTTTATTTTTTAAAGTACTATATGAGATGTTATTTAGCATAGAAATGTCATGGCATTTTTTAATGCAATACCTTGTCCTTTGTGCTGTCAGATTCCGTCACTATGGATGTGACTGGTATTCTGGAGAACATGATAGTTCATATAGCCTCTGTACACAGGATACCAGAGCAATGGAAAAACAGGTTTAGTCAAATATTATTGCATTTGTGTACATAAACTGATGTAGATATAATCTACAGAAGAATGTTAAATACGTAAATAGGATTACATCAAAGTAGAACAGAATCCATCTTTTATGTAACTTCTAATAGCACACTGTATAAAAAATTCTACTCATTTATTGAAAACAGCTGTATATAATTTGGAATAATATTATTAGGGTATGTAAAAACTAAATCAAGATATTTTAATGATTCATTTCTACTTTTTCTTTTCAGCTACGACCATTATTCAGTGATAGCCTCATTATACTATGCTGGCAGGAAACTGTGCCAGGACGTGATGACTCCTGCCAGGTCCTGCACCAGTGATAAGTTTCATACAAAAGTGGTCTGGGATGACTGGTTGGTATCTTTAGTTATGGATATATTTTTCTCAGTGATTATCTGAGATTTGAACTGATATAGTTAGTGAAAGTCTAGAGATAATATTTTTATCAGCCTAGAGATAATATTTTTATCGATATCTTTTTTTGTATGATTTACATTAATTTTACTGTGAAAAGTAACTCCTGAAATATGTCTGAATGTACTGGCAAACATTCTTGAAAATGTATAGTGATAAAGTAACAGTATGTTCTTTATTATAAAATGTCAGAAAAAATTGTTTTAGGCTGCAGTTTTCTATGGTACCAATGTGTACCCTACCGCGTGAGACCAGGCTGATCCTGCATCTGTGTGCATGTAAGAATGTCAGCAATGACAGCTCAACCCAGGTCAAGACTTCCCTTGGCTGGGTGGCAGTGCAGTTGTTTGATTTCAAAAGGTATGAACATGTTTATGTTCACCCTTGTGTTACTGAAGCATTGGATTTAAAAAGGTAGTTTAGCTCATGTACTCAACACTGTGAATGTTTCCTGGATGTATAATTGGTTAAGATGACATGTAGCATTGTGTGTTACTCCATGCTGATAGAATATTGATTAAGCTTGCTTGTTTTTACATGTGTTAGCAATAGTAAAACTAAGATTCTCCATATGATTACGGAAATAATGACGTCAAGGCAACATGTTAATTCTCATTATCTTCATCATCATCATCATCCATAGGAATCTGGTCCAGGGCAGCCAGCTTCTCCCTCTCTGGCCTGGAGACCCCAAACCTTTGGGAACAAACTTGCAAAATACAATACAGATGGACAGTTTGCTTTTGCAGGTATTATATGTCTTAAATATTTCTGGTTCATAATTTGACTTACTTAAGTTGCAAAATGCTTTTTAAATTATGAAACTTGCGATTTTAATTATAGAGCTCTTCAAATGGAATAACTGATGCTGTATTCATTTTTAAATTAAACAGTTTCTAATATTATGTTTTTCTAGGTAACCCTTCCTGATCTGGGGGTGGAAGTGGAGTTTCCAAATGTTATTCACAAAGATTTGAGGTAAGCTGCACTGAAATTCTTCTCTTTGCATTATTAGACTTTTTTACAATGTATAGTTTATGGAATATTATTGACTCGACATGATTATGATTTTAAGTACCCAACTTTGATACTTGATTTAGAATTAATTAGTAGAATGGAGAAAAATAACCATCTTAATTAAAAGATATAGCCTTTTTCTAATATAACATATTTACATTTTTTACAATTGTCCCAATTGGATTTTTTACATTGAATGTAAGTATTATCTGTTTTATGTTGTGCCTTTGCATCATTTGTTATTTTTTGCTTTAAGATTGTTGCTGTGTGGGTTGTGTTTCAATTTGACATTCTTTCAAAAAATTATATGCATTATAATGAATGTCATATTGAACAGTCTGTTGCACACACAAGTGATTGCTGTTATTTCTTATGATTACAAAATAAAACTTTGTGTGGATTCCATGGAAAAAATCCTTAAATGTTCACCTTCTTGATGTCATGCTCACATATAACTCTTTTAAGAGGTTTGGTATTGCATAATTTAGGGAAAAGGACAGGCTGAATGTGCTGTTGGCTTATTAAAACTTATTAAAACTAAATTGTTTGTTAATTCCAGTGAAAGGAGAGACTTTGATTCCTTACATCCAGACACTCAGGAAGAACTGATGGATATTGTTGAGAAGGACTCTCTGTCCAGGTAAGTATATGCATATATCATGTGACTTTTTATCAACTTTTTCATTTCTAAATATATTTAATGTAAGGGCTGGTTTGTTGACACCTTTTAAATAACTTTCAGGTGGAGAGTTTTACTTATAATCAAATAAAAACAAAGTTCTTAAATATTGTACAAGAAGGTCAGTATGCTTCACCTCATAAGGAGTGTTCTACATTATGACAAGCAATTGTTATCAGATTAACAGATGATGAGAAAGAAGTTATATGGGAGAAAAGGCACTACCTGTATCAGCTACCCAATGCATTGCCAAAGGTGCTGATGGCTGCTCACTCCTGGGACTGGGCCTGTCTTGCCGATACCTACTCCATGATTTACCAGTGGGCACCACTGGGCTCAGTGGAAGCCATGCAGCTGTTGTTGCCACAGTGAGTCTTCACTGTTAAATTTGGCATGGATTATGCCAAGTGAAATAAAAAAAAAAAAAAAAAGTCGGATGTTTGTAACAATTGCTAACTTTTTGTTTGTAATGTGTATATATATATAAATTTAAGTAACTTATTAAATGATGATGAATGAATGATGATCAAATGCAGTAAAAAAGAGAATTGATAATTGTAAAAGAAAGATTAGTGCTATATTCAAAAAGGATTCAAATTATAAAATATATGCATGCATCATGTCTTTGTGTCTTGTCTTTTTGAAAAAAATTAACTTGTATATTTTAAACATATTTTAGCTAGATTTGATACAACTTTTCCTCTCTTTTACTAGGTTTGTAGATGAAAAAGTGCGCGATGTAGCTGTGAAATGGATGCGAGAAATATCCAGTGATGAACTCTGTAATTTCCTACCACAGCTGGTACAGGTATGAAACTGTCTTCACTTTTGATACTACAGTAACTGTACATTTTCACATTTAACATTTTGATTAATATAATAAAGAGTGAATTACAAAAACTGATGAAATGGGAAGATTTTTAAGTTAGAAGGGCAGCTTATAAACATTTGGTGAGTAAAATTTTTTTGTAAGTATGGGTTGCTTGCAATTCACATATTTAGCCTATTAATTCAATTTCAATTTATTTCTGTACTGGTACATAGACTGTCATGACCTTGTACAATATGATATACTAATGACGATACAATACAGTTAGTGCATTACCATCTTTATATAATGGACATACGTATCAGTAAAATTACTCATAAAATATTCTATCTAAGCAATGCGATAAACCTTGGTGTGATNACATTAATGTGTATCTTATGTTTCAGGCCTTGAAATTTGAAAACTATTCCAACACTTCTTTGGTCCATTTCCTCTTGGACAGGGCAGTTACTAGTATAAGAGTGGCACACAACTTGTTCTGGTGAGTAGCAGTTGTTGTACAGATGTATAACATTCAGGCCACGTGTTCATTTTTAAAATGTTAGTTTTATTCTCAAAATTGTGACTATAGCATTGTGCTAGCAAATATTTATTGCGTTAGTGGACTTGTGTAAAGTCAGACACCAAAGTAAATTTAAACTTTCTGTGTGTTTTGAGAATTGTAAATGACTGAAAAAATCTGTACTTCAACATGGCCAACTTAGCATTTCATCAAGTGTCATATACTTAGTTCCTAGATACAGCCTATCAGAGATATATCATTAGGCTAACTGCTTTCTTGTATCAGTCACCTTATGTAATTTTTCCAGGTGAGTAGCAGTTAGAAAAGTAAGATAGCTTTGGTCAGTTAACAAACTTAAATAGAGTTACTGCTTCTCCTTATGTCACAGTGTAAACAGCTGTATTACTGTCTGACATTTGGTTACTCCCACAGCTCATTAAATTTTTTGAGAAAGGTAGTAATGTGTTGTTTGCTCGCCATAATTGCAGTTTTCTTCTGTTACTGTAAAGTGTAAACTTTTATGAAATCTAGGTTGCTGAAAGAGGCTGCTTCAGACTTATTTTACCGCAGCCGATATCAACTGGTATTTGGAGCCCTTATGAGTGTGGCTGGGGAGGCTCTTTGCACAGAATTCCAGAAGCAGGAAGAATTGGCCAGAAAACTGGGAGAGATTGCTGATAAAGTTAAAATTGCCAAAGACAAAGATGTGAGTCTTAAGCACAAGATTTTAGGCTGTTTAATGTGATAAATCAGGCGATAATTGTGATTTCCCTATTGGGCTGGTGCTTATTTTTATTATTGATACAGGCCCATCATTGCACTCATGTTAAAGATTTAGAGAATGGCTTATGATTTCTCTTTAGGTCTATTCTTCCCCATAAGTTATCAATATTTTTGTGTCTTAAAAAAAAGAATCATTAACCCCATAGAGCCCGTCACCGCATATGTGCGGTTCAATTATCGCTTACCCCAAACGCCCAGAACCGCATATGTGCGTATCTTGGAAAGATCGTCTTCTGTACTCTTTTGTATCGTGAGTCATGAAATGATATTTAGTTTAACATCCGGGTATGTTTCTTGTCTCTCATTGCCACCATTTTTAAAGGCGATAGAAATATATATGAGCGAGAAAACGGCGATTTTCAAGACTTAGTTGGAGAAAGTAAAATCAAGATGGCGGCTCCTCGCTACGGTAGGGACCTGCGAAGGGATACTGTTATTGAAATGATTGAAAATCCGGACTTTGAAGAGAAGTTTTCGTGTGACAGTAACATAGACAGTAGCGTTGATATTCATTTATTTATGATATAAAGGACGATAGAAATATATATGAGCGAGAAATCGGCGATTTTCTAGACCTAGCTGGTGAAAGTAAAATCAAAATGGCGACTTCTCACTACGGAAGGGGCCTGCGAATGAATACTGTTATTGAAATGATTGAAAACTACGACACTGATAAGGTGTTTTCGAGTGACAGTGATATAGACAGTGGGGATGATATTCCTTTATTCATGATATAAGTTTTAAAGATGTTTTTGTCATAGATGGTGAAAAAATTTGACTTCTATTCAGCTCTGGCCACGATGTTCAGGTGAGCTGAGAAGCTGGTATACCTGATAGCAAAATGATCATAACTTGAAAATTGATAGAGATAAATTGCTGAAATTTCCTGGATTGAAAGTTACTATAATTGACATCATCCCTGTGAATTTTCAGGCAAATGTATGTAGAAATAAAAAATTGATGTGCATAAGATAAATCAACTTTGTTTTATTTTACCCATTACCAAATGAAAATGTAGTTTTTAACCGGCTATAACTTTTGATACTGCATGTAAAATTTAAATGTAATTCTATTTTCATTTAGCCTGAAATATTGGCTTTTTAAAAATGTATACTTTGTATGGGTAATAAAGGCAAACAAATAAATTATGACCAATTTACTGAGGTGACCCGGCTTTTCAAGGCTAGCTCACAGAATTAATTGGGCACAGCAGAGCTTTATGGGTCAGCATTAACTGGATCCTATGGGGTTAATGTTACTATAATGTTACTATGCATATGTTCCAGGCCACTCTAGGTCATGAGTTAGAACCTCTGTACCAGATCCTACATGATACTACAACCATGTTACCACTAAATCCCAGCATGGAAGTAGTAGGTCTAGATATCAGGGTAAGATATGTCATATAATGCCACGTTATCTATGTACCCCCAGCTTGGAACAGCATTGTAGTAGGCAAGCCTGTACTTCAGGTTAATATGTTCAAAAAGAAAACATGTACAGAAAAGTGCTTCTTTGTTAAATTTTTGTTTATAATATATTTGTTTTAGAGATGAACGTGCCCTAGATAATGCATTCTGGTATTACATTTTTCAGACATGCTCATATTTTACTTCAAATGCATTTCCACTGAAGTTGGTATTCAAAAATGTAGAGCCCACTGCAGCCTCAATTGACATTATGTTCAAGGTATGTAAATGTTAGTTCCACAATTTAGAAAAATTGTATTCGGTACAGGTATACAGGTATGATGTTGTTAGTTTGGTATTTTGAAAAGTACTTTTGTTTTGGGAAGATAATAATGTAGGGAGGCTGATTATGAACATTTAAAAGAATTTCACAGCAGAAAATGTTCACAACCCAGTTTTTTGCAACAAAGTGCCTTTTAGGGTTTCATAAACATCCTTACAAATTCAACATATGATTATTAAGAATAATGTGACATTTCAGTCAGGTGATGACATCCGCCAGGACATGCTGACTATGCAACTGGTGAGGATAATGGACAAATTGTGGATGAGGGAGGGTCTGGACCTGAAGATTATTACCTTTATGTGTGTGCCCACTGCCAGCAAGAAAGGTAAACTTCTTGCAAATTTGTTTGCTCTCTTCTCCTTTACACTACACATTCTTGCTGTCTGGAAATTATATTGTTTCAGTTAATACACAAGGTGAAAAAAAAAACAGTTAAATGTAAAAAAAAAAATGTGAGGGGCATATGGCTTAAAACATGTTTCTTATCTTTGACTACTCCTTTCAAATGTGAAACCCTCATGAGAAAGATCCAGATGACAACAGGTTGTAAAACTTGTATTCACCAGGTATGGTGGAGTTGGTGACTGAGTGCGAGACATTGAGGAAAATCCAGGTATCTGCCGGGGTGACGGGGTCTTTCAAGGACAGGCCCATTGCTGATTGGTTGAAAAAACACAACCCAACCGAGCTGGAGTTCAGAAAAGTATGAAGTAACCTGATTGATTGATAAAGAGAGATAGAATTATAGATTAAAAAATTATGCGGTGGATTGAAGTGAGTAATTAAGCCTTCAGTTAAGAGGGTCTAAGGAAATAAACATAGTGGCCAGCATAATCATGAAACTGGTCTTGTAATTATGCATCCTTCTAGTTTTGCACTCTCTACAGTGTATGTGGGTATACAAATGACTCAGTCATGTCACCATAGTTTTGTATGGATTAAAAAAAGGTGTTCTTAAAGAATTTTTTGTCATTTTAATCCTAGGCTGTGTCTAATTTCACTTTGTCGTGTGCTGGCTACTGTGTCGCCACCTATATACTTGGTATCTGTGATCGTCATAATGACAACATCATGTTGAAGCAGTCAGGACACATGTTCCATATTGATTTTGGAAAGTTCATGGGAGATTCCCAGATGTTTGGAACCATCAAGAGGTAGTGGTCACATGCGTGATAGAAAAAGTTTTATGAACAGTCATTAGAAATATAGCAAATGTGTGTAGGCTAAATGTTCAACATAATACCTATTCCCCATTATGTTATGAAATTTACAGGTTAGAAGATCAATTATAAGAAATCATAGTATAAATATATTAAAGTATTACATAAAGTAACATTGCTTCCATAATATTTCAGTGTGAATCATAATGCATTCAAAGTGAGAATTTAAAATGTTTGTAAATTAATTGCTTCTTAGCACAAGAATATGAGAACACATAAGGTGAAGAGTTATTTTGCTTATAATGAGTCAACATTTCAGGGACCGAGTGCCATTTGTCTTGACCTCTGACATGGCCTATGTCATCAATGGAGGTGATAAACCTTCCCAGAAATTCCAGGAATTCATTGATCTCTGCTGTCAGGCTTTTAACATTCTCAGAAGACATGGCAACCATTTAGTTACTCTGATCAGAATGGTGAGTTAAATGTACATTGAAAACAATTGAAAAAAAATTCATATAATACCAAACTTACCAGCTACTACTACATTTATCCACAAACCTCAAAATGTATGTCTACAGTTATTTTAAACAAGGATGTAGAATTGAAAATAAAAAGACTGTAATATTCTATTGTGAAACAAACACATAAGAAGGGAAATAGGTGATTGTGACAGTAGTTATTCCAGACCGTAAACTCCTCAAAGATAGTCTTGATAATGTGATTGCACGATGTCAGACATTTAAAAAAAATCTTTTGTTACTAAGATGGAGTACAGTGGTATCCCAGGTGTCACTGTGTCAGCAGCCAAGTATGTCCAGAAAGCACTGCTTCCAGAGTGCTCGGATGCTGAGGCTACAGCAATGTTCACCAGGTAAAAAATGACAGCTGTCTTTTGTTTAATAATTGCCAGAGTTTGTAGGCAACTAAATGAATTTACTTTATTGTGAAGGTGTTTTGTGATAGATCTCAAGAATTTTGTCATAACTGTTAGTTCAATAGATGTCATCACCTCCCTTCTGTGATTTACTAGTAAAATGTGCAATCTTTACATTTCTTTTATAGACTTCATATAGCTTATTTGTTGTTATTGTGTTTCAGGATGATTGAGGAAAGTTTAAGGTCCGTGTTTACACAAATCAACTTCTTTGTTCACAATCTTGCTCAGCTGAAGTTTAGAGGACACACAGAAGGGGAACTGCTGTCTTTCAGTCCTAAAACATACAGGTGTGTGGAAAGATGGACATGGAATACCTATAAAAATGTTACCATTTAAAGTATTAAAAAAACAACAAACACCACAGATCAGGGCTCCGTATCTCGAAAGGTTCACTATGTTGCACACGTGCGTTAGTGTCTCGATTCCATAACCGATTCTATTTCGAGATACGGGGCCATGGAATCGAGACACTTGTGTACGTGCAAGTGCGTCTCGATTTCATGGCCCCGTATCTCCTAATAGAATCAGTTATGGAATCGAGACACTAACGCACGTGCACAACATAGCGAACCTTTCGAGATACGGAGCCCATCACAGGCATGGAATACCATATAGAATTGCACCCATGAATATGTGTTCACATAAGTATTCACATCAACTTTCTCATTTACTATTTTCTTGCAACCTACTTGCAATATGCACATTGTTTTTACATGTGTTAGTATTTCTTCATGCATTCTGAAGAAAATGTGTATAATTTCTTCCTCATGTAGTGTGGCAACAGATGGCAAAATTGGCAGTGTGGAAATATTTGGTTACCAGAAGAGATACAGCCCAGAAAAGTTTTATGTAAGTATACAAAGCACACTTATAGTAAATAAACAGTTTTATAACAGTGAGAAACAAGAATTTTTATAATTAGTTATGACAAATTAATGTTTTAATTGATTCATTTTATACGGGCATTTATTTTTACTTGGACAGCTTTGTTTAAGTAATAGTGATATATTCAAATCATATAGTGCAACTGTTAATAAAATCTCATATAATGATTGTTTCAGATATACATTATCAAAGTTGGACGTCAAAATCAAAAAGTGCCAAACTTTGTATTCCGTAAATACACAGAATTTCAGGAATTCCACAACAAACTTGTCACCATGTTTCCACTGGCCAAACTTCCCTCTCTGCAAGGAAGGTATGGACCTGAATAATGACAAAAACGAACAAACAAAAAACATTACCGACTTTACTGACATGAGTCTAACACTTAATACAATTTTAAAGAGCAAATTCCCAGCATTTTTACACTGTTTGCATATTTATCTTTTAAAAATTCCATTTTTGAACTGGTTACTTTAAAAAGACGCAGCATGCCTTTCAACATAATAAACAGAAAAAATACTGTTCAAAAATTATTATGAGAAATCTCAAAATAAGTTATTAAAAGTTAACATAATCAACATACTAAACTTGGTTAAATATTTTCATTTGATAGAGTGCTGATGGGGAGAACACATGTGAAAAGTGTAGCAAAGAGAAGAAAAATAGAATTGGAACACTTCCTGAGAGAATTACTGCAAATGGCTACAGAAATATCAGAGGTATGACTTGACACAGAAAAAGTTACTTGCTTTTAGAAGTTTCCGTTGTTGTGTTTAATTTATAGATATAAGTATTCATGCCTGACTGATGTTCACTGAAATATTTTAATTTACAGTATGTAAAGTATGCTCTATCCTGATTTCAATGCATGCTCAGGTTTTTATAAGTACTTATTAATACTTAAATATCACCCTATGTCTGTTTTTCTCAGTGTGACCTTGTCTACACATTTTTTCACCCCATGTTGAGAGATGAACAGGATATTGACAGCACAAATCTTCAGAAACTCAAAGGTGAATTTCAGTTTGATAGGATTAACCTAGATAGTGATAGGTATTAAATGCATTCAATGCACAATGGGTCACATTATAGCAAAAATAATTGTCCTGGAAATTCTAGTAATTTTTCTTTTATCACAAAGGTATACTCTGTCAAAAACTGTGGCACAAATTACAAACTATCAGCTCATTTTCTGATTTTTACTATGACAAGTGAAATATCCAGCCTTGATCTCCATTATGAAAGCCACTGACTCTAATTAAAGGTACACTCTCTGAGATTTACCTGCCAAAATGGATTTTCGCGGAAAATAAGCAATTTTCTCATACTTAAGAATCATTTATCTATCCCTCTCTGCACTTGGATTCAACCTTTGATAAAATTAAAAAAGGTTGATTTTAGCTTAAAATGACTTGTTAGTCATTATAACAGTGACAATTTTACTATAAGATTCAATGGTAATATCAACATCAGGGACACTCCAGAAAAAATATTTAAGGGGTTAAATCATTTTGAAGGTGTATGTAAGGTTTAATAAGAAATTGTGGACAGCACAAATAAGCATTTTGGGGATTTTCAAACCCATGGTGCGTACCTTTATTTGTTGAAATTTCCAGGAAATTCTAATTTTATTTTATAAATGTCTAATTCTCACTGTGTATTTTTAAAATTCTTGGTATCAAGTAAATAACATGACAAAACAAAAAATGTGAGAAAAATTGCGATCCTTTATCTCATCTCATCTCTCTTTCATTACCAGAGTATTCTTTCTTGTTCCAGAGGCCAAGCCTACAGTGGCTCCTGTAAGACTAATCCATGGCCAAATCAAGATGTCTCTGCAGTACAAAAATGGCGTCCTCTCCCTCATGATCATGCATGTCAAGGATCTGGTAACTGTCAACATGTCATGATAACAATTTTACAGTTTTACTGTTTTGGGTATAAATGACTTATATTTCTGAAGTAAATATTTGTTAGAAATAGTTTCATATGATCCTTTCTCCTCTGTATTAATGTGCCATTAAATTGTCAAGCAATACATCCTGAATCCTTTTCAGGCCAAAGAAAGTGGTGAACTACCTGACCCATATGTTAAGACATATCTTCTACCGGACCCCAACAAGATCACTAAGAGAAAGACTAAGATTGCACATGGAACTTTTCATCCTACTTATAATGAAATGGTAAGCTGATAAAGGATGAAAGTATTTTATACTGGCTGTGAGCTGGTTTTGTCTTGTAAACTCCCCTATATTTTCATACGCTTTGGTTTTTTTAATTCTAATATTTGAAGCATCAGCCGTGGGATAAGTCAGTAACAAGTGCTTGTCATCCACTGTATGCCACATAAAAGAGCAAATTATATCTTGGCTGGACCTCAGTATAAGTAAGCTCTTGTATGTTGCATGCAATGGGTGACTCATGTTGTAAGTAGTCCTAAGTGGAGTAACACATTTGAGAATTATTATTTTGATGTAAAAGGTGCCTAAGAATTCATAACATTCACAACTCTTTATTCATGAATGTTAGTCAGTTATTTCCAATAACTTATGTGGACTTATCTCTTCAGCTAATTTCCTCTTAAATGAGTCATGTGAGTAATGATTATAACAAAACAAGATAAAAAATTAGAGAAAGGAAAATAGTCAGTAGTAGCAAAGCACCTTTTGGCAATGGCTCATACACACACACACACAATAATTCATAACAAAGAAAGGTATCAGATGTTTGGAATAAAAACAAACTTTTGTAATTTTTTTATATACATCATTATTGATAAAATATGAATTCAGTCACTAGTTTACCTGTAATTGGGACATACTTGATTAAGTCAACTTTGTTTCAGCTCCTGTACAGAATACCAGAGGAAGAAGTGAAGCAGAGGGTGCTACAGGTTACAATATGGAACTATGATGTCATGAAGGAGAATGAGTTCCTTGGGTCTGTCTTAATCAACCTGAACACTTTGGACCTGTCCAAAGAAAATGTGAACTGGTATCAGCTAGAAAAACTTTTACACTGGAAATAGAGAAAAACACTCTTATCATTTGGTTTTAATTTGAGTTTTACTGGGTAGATGGACAGAAGACAAAACATATACTGGTATATATAATGAGTGGAGGTGGTGATATGATCATCTTGAACTTCCGTGCTTAGAAGCTGATTTCCAGTCCTTTTGTATGTCATTCCAAACCATGAAGGAGAAAGTCAGAGAAGAATTTCATCAGCTGTGTTAAGTTATAAGAATGATGTGAATTTTTCTTCAGTCAACAGCTAATATTGAGATAGGTAAAATATTGGAGGTAAAACCTATCTCAATATTAGCTGTTGACTGAAGAAAAATTCACATCATTCATGAAGGAGAAAGACTGCACCAGAAAATTGAGCCAATGCTTCTCTTTTTATGTACAGACACAAATGTGTCTGTACATAAAGCTGTCACCTGCGTCTTTCATCCCCATACACTTTCAGTGATGTAATGATAAGTGGAAACTTACTGAACTGATGAATATTCATAAAATACAGGTCTAGTTCGAAAGTCAGCACAATCGGGTCATTTTTCCAAAAGTTTACTGTTTTATTTCCTTTTTTCAGCATATATGGAACACTGATAACAAACACATTTCAAGGAAAACAGATAGGCCTATTTTCTTGAAAATCGCTGAAATGATCAATCTTACTAAAATACAGATCGAGTTCAAAAATCAGCTTGATAGGACCATTTTACAAATTTTTTTTTTTGCTTTTTTCCAGCATATTTTATCTACCATTTTATAGGTAAAATGAAAAGTGTGTAATATTTTGCTTTACAACTTGTAGGACTGATTCATCAGACTAATAAACAGATCAAGTTCAAAAATGATCTTGATCAGTTCGGTTTTGATGAAGATATGAAGTTTTGTAAGCAATGCAGTTTTTTATGAAATTTCCATTTTTTCCTCCCTTGGGTCATCACAAGCTATATTCAGAGCTGCTAAGTCACTTGCCTAATTAGGTTTTAAGTGGCCATTAAATGAGATTACATAAAACACACATGTTGAGATTTTCATGGTGTGACCTTAAACTCCCATAGGTTTAGCTCTCTTTGTCTAAGTCTAAATTAACAGTGTCACATAATTAAGAATTGGTGATAATTATGGAGGTGAATGTTGTCAAATATTGCAAATAAGTTTACAAAAGAAAAAACATTGTGTACTGCCAACATTAATGCTACAGATGATGATGAATGATGATTAACCTCAAACTCAATAGGGTTATTCATATCATGTTAATACAGCTTGATTAAAAGTTTGAATAGCAGCTTTATTGGCATATTTTAGTTGTTTTCTTTTTTAATTTTTTTTATTTTTCAAACACTGGCATTTTCAAGATGTGACTTTACTTCCATCCACCTTAAGCTCTGTACAAATAACATTTTCTTTATTTCCACATATGCAGTAATATTGGTGTTTATGCCTTTAAGCATTATGTAATATTATTTTATGCACTGTCATCTTTTTTCACATATTGGAATTTTCATTATGTGAATTTGAATTCTCATGGTCCTGAAACTCAATGCTTATTGCCCATGTTACCTGCTTTTATGATTAAAATTTGGTGTTGATTGACTGTGCTGTTATAAGCATTATGTATTATTGCATCAAAATTGACAAAATAACCTATTTTCTGCATCTTTATTTCTGCTTTTTGTCTGTACATTTGACAGCTTTGCTGCCTTGTTTGATATTTAAGAAAAAACTTCCAGAAACATATCTTGCCAGAATGAACATGTACTTGTTACCACAGTACAGTATTTTTGCAACCATACAATGCTCATAGGGTGCACTAACCTGCTAAGTAGACACTGAATCATAGTTATGGTGAGTGAAAAAGAGATTTGAAGATCATTTATGTTGAAGGAGATGTTTTCCTTGGCATACAAAGCTGCTCATGCAAGGATTCATTTCTTCCACCGATTTTCTTTTATGTGACTGATGTTCAGGGACAAAAATATATTGCTTAATGATAGCTGACTTGAATTCTGGATAATTCTAATTTATTTGTCAATCACAACCAGTTCTCTAAAATTTAAATTCTCTTTACATGGGTAGTTTGATTTAGAATTATATCTGTCTCATATTTGTATAGAATTTTTATGGTAATTTATTGCTTTGTGGTACTGGAATGGTGAAGACAAATTTATATATGTTAGCTTAAATTATATTTTATGTGAAGATTTTAGAATTATACAAAGTGCTTAGTTAAATATTTATTCTGCTCAGTGCATTACAGATTGATAGATGTACACTATAATGCATAAGACATAATAATAAGGCATTGTTCAGGTCATATACAAAAAAAGAAAAATATATTAATAAATAAATGAATTCAACTGGGTTTTTGATTCAGATTTTATTTTATCTATTGCAGATTAAGTCGACATCAATACTAGAAAAGGTCCTTGATGGCCATTTCCTGACGCTGATTACTTATATTAATATAATTTAACAGTTGTCAAGTGTAATTGTTGACTGGTATGACCGACACACACAATCAAAGTTCATCAGGCTAACATTCAGAGTAAAGGACCCAACTGATTGTTTTACCCCACTTCGGCCATGGAGGCAGTTATGACCTCATGCTGACTGTAAGAATTGGTAGATCAAAGATCTTAAAACATTTTCGTCATCCGTTACATTGTAGATCTAGTTGTAAAAATGTGATAACTGGAAAATAAAAATGATTTTATCTTTACGACCAAGGAATATATATATATATATATATATATATATATATATATATATATATATATATATATATATATATAACATAGCAATGTGTTACTGTCGTATGTCAACCTTGCCTGTTTTTCTTTACATTTTGAAGTTTGCTCTCGCTTCTCTTCTTACTTAAGATTGTCATCTCTTTTATTAAATCAAAAACAAAAAGAAAGTAAACATTAAATTAATCAAGTCATGTAAGATAGGAATTGCTTTTTCTCATTTAAATAAAAGTGACTGTACGTGAAATGTGCATTTTATAACTTTGTATTCTAGCAAAGAGAAAATTCTTATCAGTTATAAGGTGCATCAAGTATAGGCCAGTTTATACCAAATTTAGGCCCACATGCCCCATCCCCATTTTCAAGGGAGAAACCGATACCCTTTCTTTTATTACATTAAAAAAATCATTGCAAGGAAAAAAATCGAGTCTGTTACTTCGATCTGCTAATTTGAAAATTACATGAAATCCTTTTAAAGTAGTAGGATCCAACAAAGATTTTGGATCCCTTTATAACAAACTTCTATGCATAAAACCTGTCACAAGGGCACCCACAGAATAAATTACATAGATAAAACGTGAACAATCATAACATTCAACTCAGAACTAGTTTTTTGCATCCAATTTGTAACAGAAGTAAAGTTTAGTTTTAAATCAATTCTTTAAAGTTTTTCATGAAGTCAAGTTGATGCTGACTGCTCACCTCATGTCGAAAGCGCCACCTATTATGTATTCAGCTGGTATCGTTTATGATTACAGCAGTGTGATTACAGGAAGGAGAGAAGAACAGACTGACGGTAAGGAAAAGATTCTTGATTTTTTTTTAATTATAGAAACTTTATATTTCTAAAGGAAAGCATGATTATCGCGACACTGTATCCACCAGATGTTTTTACTTTCTCCATTGGAGCTAATGACGATGTGACGCCTGATGGGGGCGTTGTGCCAAGTACATGTAGACTATATAACTTGTAAGACTGGACGACGTCCACTTTGTGCGTGTAAATTTAATGCACAGTACAAGGTAGTTGCAGTATTTACATTGTAGGTCTGCCATTTACTAGACAAACAGCAACATATAAGTAGATCATATGTGCTGGAGTGTTTGATTTCCATCAGGTACCGTACGTTAATGCCATACTTTTAAGATATGGGAATTGAAGAGTATAATCATACACAAGACTCATACATGTACGGTAGGTTAATCGTTACAATTTTCACGTTAGATTCACATTGAATGCGCCGCGTAATTTGATGATTGTAGTAAAGTCATGGACGTGATAAATTATGATGAAACTACACCCTCACTTCCTGTACAAACTGAAAATGAAATAACACTTACTATCGACATGTTTTTTCAAATGTCAGAGGGCCCACTCTTCATTTACCATATTAATATGTACATTGCAATGTACCTGCATTGTTAAAGCAATAATAACTCTTCGTTTCGACCAAAAAATGAATTTTCCTGGAGTAAACAACAATTTTCCCATACTTACCAATAAGTAATGAATCCATTTTTACATTCAAAGTTAGTCCCTGGTTTTTTTCTAAAAAGTTTGTTTTTTTGTTAAAATCTCTTAAGAGATTTTAACAGAGTATAGACATCAATGGAGGTCACGTGGTCTAAAGACAAGTTCAGATATCAGAATAAAAGCTATAACTGCTGTTTTTGTGGTAAAACAGAATATATTATATTTCTATGAGTTATTCACAAGGTTTTTATTGTGAAATATAGATATCATACGAAGAGTTATTATCCCTTTAAATTTGCATTTTTAAAATATTTTACGTTCTTGTCAAAAATTTAGAAGGTTTGGTAGTTTTCTGTTGTAATGAAAATGAAAGCTAGGAAGAGTGGTACATATGTACAAGGAAGGTCCAGTGCCAAGAGACCAATAATTTTGTATTATCTCTACCAACAGAATATTTAGATTTATAAGTTGCATTTATTTCAGTTTGTGTTTTAATTAACAGAGAGTTTTATATTGTCTCAAATCTATTGTTCAAATGAAAGGAAATAAAATAAGTTTCTAATCTGTTACAAAGAAAAATGCTACCCTAGCTATCCCTAGATTTTCATTTTGCAAACTGACTATGAATGATCAAATGTTGTCAGAAAGTGAATATGAAAGAGAGTGAATATGAAAGTAATGCATGATTTTGTCTATCAATCTAAATAGGTAAAATGTTGTGCTTTATGCACCAGATGATAATGTTTAACTCGTCTTTTTTTTTTTTTTTTTGTAGCATTTTATGTTGAGCATTGAAAGGCTTTTTAATAATGGTTTAATATGTTTCAATTTATTTTCAGTCCACTTTTAATGTTGTCTGGCACTGATGACGTTGATATACATGTAGTCAAGGATTCATAAAATCAGAACAGTTAATATCCATTTGGTACTGTTATGAGATGTGGTGAGGTGATAAATTTAATTTGTAATTTATGATTTGGTATTATACACACAAAAACACTTTCAGTGATGGCATGTTTTGTTTGTTATTTTTTATAAGTAGCAATGCTATTTTCTCAGTTTATGATTTGGTTCAGATTTATTTTGTTTTTCAGTTAACCATGGATGTCTCTCTAGGCAGACATGACAGTGCAGACAGGGAGGTGGCTGAACTAGTGGTACTTCATACACATATTTTGAGTGTCTTTTTCTGTTAGCATGGAATTCACATGGAAAACCTTAGGCATAACAAATCAAAATGCTGGTATTAATCATGTGGCTTATTGTGCATTCTTAAAAGCTTACTCAAAGCTTGTATCAGTTATTACCTTATATTACTCCATTTATATTTCATTAATTTTATTTATTGTTAAGAAAAAAATGCTTTCTTTTAAAAAAGACATAGCCTAGGTTGTATCAAAAATGTGAATTGCTATAATTGCTTGATACTGCTGAAAATGATTTTTTTGCCCTTATGATGTTCTTCATGTGATATCCAAAATTTGATTCTTTTAGCAATTTGCTCTCTGTACTTAAACTTTTCAGACTAACTTCAGCCAGTGTGCAGGGTGAAGATTTGTGGTGTAATTAGAAATAACGTCTTTGAAATATGCTAGCTTTTCTTGGTGAACTTTGGGTTATTTATTTTCATTTGTGTTGAATTTCTTTTCTTTGTTTGCATCACCACATGTTACATTAACACTCAGAGTTTTGAGAAGCCAAAATTAACTAGAAGCAAATGAATATTTTCCTTGAATTCTGACATAGTTTTTTGTGTGTGTGCTGTGCTATACACATGATTTACTAAACCCAAAACAAAAAAGCATTTATAACTTACAACTAGACAAATACTCTCTCTGATCTACTATGTGTATCATGTATTCAGCTGCAATGTAAAGCAGAAAATCAGTTTTTTTTAATGATTGTTAGTATAATATGGTGTAACATAAGAAGCAATTGAGTGTAAAATATTTTGTTGTAGCTTTAAAACAAAGGTTTATAAAAGGTGAGATGTAGTAAAATTACATTGTTTCTGGGTTGTTGTTTAAGCCTGTTTATTTTTGATGTATAACAGTAAAAACATATTTCTCTCTATATTTATATAGGGAAGTCAATTTCTGCAGCTGCCCCAACAGCCACTATCATGATAGTCAGAATTTATAATGCATTAAAAACCTTATTGATTTTAGCTGACTTTGTATTAGACCCATAGTAATAGTATTCCTGTATATTGATCCATGTTCCCAGTTTTTGTCTGGCAGTTATAACTGCAGTCATATATCTAGGCATTGAAAATGGAGGGACAGGTAATGATACTGTAATAAGCTGATATCATTTCGATATTTGAGTCCCAATGAGATTGTTCCTATAGATTTTTTTATCACAAAGATATATCATTAGCTGGCTTTGGAGAGAGGGAGCACTGTAGAAGCTGCAGCATCATTCATGTACAGAAAATACTGAGAATGAGAATAAGAAAGTAGGGAAATGTCTCATTTTAGCAGTGCCTATTATATCCACTTGATTTAATGTCAAAGAAATTATGCATTTACTGTTAATCTTAGTGACCTTAGGATAAATATATATGTTTCGAACCACAGAGTCCCAGTTTTAATATGTATGAATTTATTTAACTAGGAAACTGCTACTGTGAAGTACTAGTATATTAAAACAGTTATGTTTTAATATGACAAAGAGTTATCTTTACTTGTATGCACAAAAGATGTGTGTTTATAATGCTATTTTGAAAAAAATACTTCTTTCTAAACTACCAATGATATTGGAAAAGGAATAATAAAACTACAGTATAGTGGTAGTTTATGAAATTATCAGTAGCAAAAAAGCTGCTTGTATCAAGAGTGCATATTTCTACATATATACTTTGAATCAAATAACATTTATACATGTACAGTACTTATGTTAATTTGCATTAAAACTTTTATTAAGACTTTTGAACAGTAAATCCATTTTCTGTACTTATATAGAGTAATCAGCAAGCTTTCTATTTCCCCTGTGTACATGGTAAACAAGATTTGGTCTTCTACCAACTAGATTAAATGATCTGAATATAGATCATTGCTCAGAAGAGTCTCTGCTTTGGGGCCCAACCAGAAGGTCACATTCTGGAATATTTTCTCAGTAATTTGATGATTGCATTAAGATGTAAAGCAACAAAAGGTGCAGGAGATGAACATACTATTTCTATATTTGCTATAGTAAAGAAACATACAGCTCTCTCTATTACCAATTGTCATTTTCTCATTGTGACACTGCTAACCTTAATCTTCAGTGTTCTATCATGAAAAGTGTTTATATGGAGTGTGTATGGTAGATCATATCATGGTGTAATAATTGGCATTTAACAAGTTGTTAAATATCATATTGCAGTCAGTTTGTACATATTGTAACCTGTAAACTTGCTGCATTGGTTGGTTTCACCATGGTCAGGTGATGTGTGTATTAAGATGCTGAAATATGAGTCTTCCTCTTGAATGGAACGTTTAGACCTGGGCACCCCTATGCAGCGTGAAATTTTCAGTATGACCCTAGGTTTTGTTCAAGGTGTGTCTTCGTTGCACAATGTATGAATACATTGTAGTTTGTTATAATTACATTCTTTTCATGCCTATCATTTCAGGAAGCCACCTTAGCTAAGGCGGTAATACAAGAATTTGATGGTAAGTTAACACAGATATCATACAGCATATCACAGGCTAATAGTTTATGTACTAATGTGGCTAAGCAACTAAAGTAAACTGCCCCATACCGTATGGTTGGAAGAAGAGGGATTGATTTTATACATTTTTGGAGTGAGATACAAACCCTCCTGGGCTTTCAGCTCTGGTTTATCTAGAGTCACCGTTAATTTTCATGTATCTTCAAGCTATGTATTTTGATTTCCAATCACAATCATATATAGTGTATCTATGCAGTTTTGCTGTGGAAAAGTCAGTGGTCTTGCTGAATTTTTATTTTTTATTATTTTATTATTATTTTTTTTAGATAGAATGGAAAGTATTGAATATTTGAATTTAAATGAAGTTGACTATTAGAAATGTCTTTATTTAAGACATTTATTTTAGGTAAATAAAGCACCATTGGGCATAGAGATTATTTTGACTACCGACATGTACCCTTCAGCTAAAAAAATATCAACACAATTGGTGATATAGATCAGACTATGTGAAACCTTACTATGTAAACATTGACTCATTGTCCACAAATTGATATATTTTATATAATGTGACAAGGATCCTGTGGTAACCTTTTGGATGGATATATACTCCAGTATCAGTCATAAAATCAGCCAAGTTAGGAATTAAGCCACATTTAGTAGCTGTCACTTCAGTCCAAAGCCATTTTCCTCTTTATCTGGATGATAGATTACAGACTGATAAAAGGCCACATGGACTAATAAGCCAGGCTTATGGTCGCCCAAGTATTTCTCTGGATGGTTACTAAATAGTTGTTATACTTTCTGTGTGTAAATTTGTACTGGGCAATGTGTATTTGTACAGTACCAGGTCTGGGGTTTCTCTGCTAAAAAAGACTTCCCTGTGTTGTCTCTGAGGAAACATGCTTCAAGGCAATTAACATAGCATACAACTGACTGTGACTTAAATAAGTAGTGGTCTGATTTGATACTGGTTGGGACAATAACTAAATTAAGGTAGGGGTATTTTTTTTCAAAATATGTAAGTTGTTAAGTTGGTTAATGAAGAAATTGTTCTGAACTACATGTAGCTAGTTTGATTTTAACATTTAAAAGGCCTTTTGACTTTACCATGATCAAGTTATCAAATATGATCAGTATAGGTGTTGTCACTGAACAGGGCATACCTGTAAATTTTAGTTTGTGAATAGTATTATCTGACAGTGTGAGATCCAGGTGTGTGAATAATTTGTTTGTATTTCTTTAATTGATTATCTTGATCTATGTTGTCAGTGAATATGGCATGCTATTTATCACAGCAATGTACTAGTATAGATATAAATATTGAGGTTTCATTGGTCTGGTTTCACTTCCTACTCTCTCTTATTCAAGTTCCTCCAGGTGATACAATTTATGAGGGGATGGGGTTGAATGGAGAAACTAGGAAATGGGTAACAGATATATTACAATGATCTACTAACATTTTATGTGTATACCCAAAAGCAGCAGACTTGATGGATATGGCTACATCAAATAAAAAAGCGTACTGATTAACGGATTTAATTATCTGAGTGTTTTGCCTTTTAGGGTATAGGAGTGGCATTCTGTGGTATTCATTTTGCATTATGGACAGAATTTTGACTCTTTAAACCTTATTTTTACAAAAACTAAGAAAATGTACATACATGGTTCAAATTTGGCAGTAATATTGATAGTGAAAGCCTTAAATTTTGCTTAGCACAATGCTTGGTTTGTACAATCAGCCAACAGGCAGAATATGTTTTTACACAAGTAATGTAATATAGATGTAGGATCTGGGTAAGGGTTTGTAGTAGAACAGTTTCATTAGTTATGTTATTGTTATAGACTTGTGAAGATTCTTTTGTCTATAGCTACTTATATTTGTCTGATCTTACCACCCAATAAGATCAGAGACGAAATATTGGCTGGTAAGATCAGACAAATATAAGTAGCTATAGACAAAAGAATCTTCCTAAGTCTGGGTAAGGGTTGTTTTGACGAGATGTGATAAATTAACAATACAACAAATATATATCTTTTCAGATGACTATGACTATGAAGATCCTTTCTTTGAGGAAGGAATAGATGAAAGCTACAGCATGTCCCGTTCCTTAGTGGATACCACCAGCAGTACAAATTCTTCCAGTTCTCCAGGACAGCTTTCTTCTTCTGTTACCATGAGGGACAGCAGTGGCCATAGACTTAGTCCTGTCTTATCAGGTGGGTACACAATCCCTCCATTAACTGCTTACTTTGCTTTTTCACTAAGAAATTGAGAAGATATATGTAAATTGTTAGAGTTAAAATGTAATCAACCAATGAACATATAGAAATAAATGTATAAGTATCAGAAATCGTTTAATCATCTTCTTTTATGAGCTAAGAACTAAATCAACTGAACATAAAGGAATCTATGAATCTGCTTTAATAGAGGAATTCAAATTTGATACTGCTCAGGGATAAAACTTTTTCAAAACCATTTACTCTCCTTAAAAAGTCAAAAGTCTACTATTGCTTGCCAAGAGTTAGAAAGAAAATTAAGTGAATGGGTGGGGTCTCCCATAATGGGTTTTGTTGTTTTCTCCATTGTGTTTTAATTTCATGATACCATCGAGATCTCTCCCAATTATTTTGCTAATATGAATAATTTAAACTACTTTTTTGAAAATTTTCAATGATATAGGAGTTCACGTCATGTGTGTGAGATAATTTTAATTCTGAAAAGAATCTACACTAGCTTAGATTTCAGCACAGGTATAATAGCTGGAGTTTTCCAAAGTAAGGGTACTTTTGTAAAGACAAAAGGTGTACCGGAATGTCTGCAAAGTCTTGTGCTTGTCAGTACAAGATTTGAGAAGCCGAGGTGAAATTCTATCTGGCTCAGTCACTAAGAATGTGACCAATGAAGTGATGTTTCACTCACAAAAATACATTACTGGTACTTGCCACATACTTAAATGTGACAAAAAATAAACCCATTTCTCAGATATATAATGTTTGCAACCCCATTATGTATCAACTAACATACTGATCCAATATGTTTTTACCAGAAGGATAGTCACAAGTTGTTTGTGATATTAGAATATTGTGTGAAATCAAAGGGCCAGATGAAAAAAGTTAAACAAGAGTATATAGTTGGCAATATTAACATGAACACCAACTTTGAACAATGAACATTTCTGTTTTTCTTTAAACTTGTCACATTGAATAAAAGCCAAACTCTGCTGTGGGTAGTGCACTGAACCCAATGCTAATTTTTACCGGCTGCACATATAATAATAGGTGGCTGTGGATAACAGATTATTGGAATGTAATAGCTTGATGATCATTGCTAAATGGAGTAACGCTAAATGCAACCTTTTTCAGGGTCAGCTTGATTAAGTTAGTGGCAAGTTATTGACACACAACCATATACTATATTGGAAATGTGCCACTTCTAGTTCATATTAGTGCCTGTTTGCATTCTTTGCTTTAAAGTACAACTATAACTATCACAGGAGCAAAACATGAATTAGTGTAAATGGAAAGATGGTTGAAGTGCATTGGGTCATACACACCAAGAAAGCAAGGTACATGTATGCCATTGTCTGGAGTAGAGGACTTAATGATTAGATGATAATATAATATCATATTATATTATACACATTTGATGAGTGTTTGCTTTTTTCCCCCAACAGATTCTAAGGAGCCTTACAGAGAGGGCAAAAGTTTTTCATTTTCTGGATCAGTAGGTGTTGCCAGCTCTGGGGAGTCGCCTTCTCAGTCCCCTACTATAGGTAAGTTGTAGAGTATATTTCTGCCTCAGGCTATTAATGGGAGACGTACAAAAATCACCTTCAGGTAAGTTAATGTGGTGTGAATACAATTTGCCTTAATACTGTAAGTTTGTTACATATGTCAGACTTTCCTGCACATTTACCATTTCAGGTAAGTGAAAAATCAAAACATTTAGTTAAAACTTTTGTCAGATATGTATAGGTATAATATGGAGGATTGCGCTTAAAAAGCCCTTTTTGTGTCCATGTCCACAGATACATGCATATGTATTAGACAAATGTTTGAGTAAATTGTCCTTAATTCTTCATTATGACATCTGTAATCCATGTCTCTGATCAACTACAGAAAGTGTTCGTGCCTCGGTTCACTTCTCTTCCTATTATAATTTTTTTGTATACCTTTGTATGTAACTTTGTATTTGTATCCCCCATCAAAACCCAATTTTAATTTGCTTTCAATAAAACATGCCAGTTGCCTATTCAAAATTTTCAAAACATTTAATGAAAATGAAATATACTTTTCAAGGCTAGTGCCACTGTTTGCCACTAGGTGGCAGCATGTCCAGACTCTACCATGTGTCAATGTGCAAGGTGGTTCTGTTGAATTATTGAGTTAGATAATGGAAATGCTAACATGTTGAGTTGACATAACACAGCAGATGAGAATTATACTATATTCCATAACGGCAATGAGGCATCTGTTTCTTAATATTATGTGTTACTGACCTGAGAAAAATGGTGGTTTGATCTGATCTGATCTGATCTGATCTGGTAGGGCCACCAAAATTATCAACAGTACATAATATGTCAAGACAGGTGCACCAACATGTTTTATTTATTTATTTATTTATTTATTTATTTATTTATTTATTTATTTATTGAGATCACACGCACACACATATATGCTAAAAGAGAGAGAGAAAGAGAGAGAGCAGTGTAAAGAGTAATGCGATTATCTCATGTAAGTGCACTTAGATATGTCTATGAATAAACTAAGTGATACTCCACACTAATGGCTTTTATCACAATTTTTCTGTATGCAGCACTAGCTGTATATATAATCTTAAAAGATATTACAAAAAGGCAAGTGCCTTGTATGAAGCATTTTTAAGTAATAGTCTTGGCATTGTGGTACCTGAAACAGACATATTTGGCTCATCATCATAATGCTTGTTAGTTGTGGAAAATACAACCAACAGATTTGGCTAATAATAATAATAATACACATAGTTCATTTTTAGAATTGCACACTTTGGCAGGTTGTGAACGGAATAATCTCCCTTGCAGAGTTAATCGACATGAGCTTGAATATTTTATTTCTTGCCAGAGATTTCTGTCTTTTATGTTGCATTTAATGCTAAAAATAGTATTTACTAGAAGTTGTTAAACAGTCTGTATCTCTCACTGCATGCAATGACGGCAGTTTGTCTGGACAAGTTTACTTAAAGAACTGGAGGGAGAGGAAGTACACTTTTGCCAGATGATTCAGCTTACCGTTTCATTTTCTCATTCTGTATGCGGGGAGTGATGATTGCACAGACATGTAGACATTTGGAGTTGGAGACTATTTGGACAGTCTGCTGGTATTTAAACTGCAATTTGGAAGCTTCGGCAAATAGACAGCATAAGCTGATGTATCATCTTTGAGGCAGAGATTGAGATAGAGAGGGAGGTTGAACAATTAGTCTGAAAGTCAGGGAAATGAGCATTACAGGTAATCAGTCTACTTTGCAGTAGTGTTAGATGCCTTGACACTGTAAGCTTTGTTTTTGTTGTTAAAACTTACCACATAGAAGTTTTACTCTACTGATGTTAATGTTTTTCTTGGAAGTTTAGTAGTTTGTTGATGGAAGTCTGCAGAAAGTGGTGATGTTGAGAATTATTAACATTTATTAGTATTGCTGTCTGATGGGAGGGATATCTGCATCTCAGGAAAATGTATTTAAAAAAAAAAAAACAAACAAATAACTTAATGAATAGAAATAAAAAGACAATTTATCACCTTTCACTAACAGGAAACAATGTAGACTAGCTTTCACCTGAAAAAAAATTACACCAGACATGTGAGATGCCACTATCAGTGACAGTTCTCTCCTGTATGCTGTGCAAGGGACATCACTTGGCTAGCCTGACCTCACCACATGACAGCTGTGATGTCAACCTGGTCATCTTCCCCTCCCACTAGTGACAGGCCCAACATGTCAATAAGGACAGTGGAATAGGGGCCTTCGAAGTTTTCTCTTTTTTCTTGAGCATTTTAAAGCAAGTATGGAGTTTTTATATTTAGATGTATTATTATTCCTACTAGATTGCCAGGTTTGGGTTAACCTTTTAGCAGAGAATAATTAAGACATTACTAGTTTTATACCTGCTATATCAACAGGCAGCTTTAAATGGTTGATATGCAAAAAGTTAATTTATCAAATGTAATTTTACAGAAATCTATATATAGGCTTATTAACCAAAACATCATAGATAAAATCAGTATGGTAACAAATAATCAATGCATTTTTGAAATTGTTTCAATAGTTTTATACTTGGTGTATATTCCCACCTTCCATGCCCTCTTATCTTTTGTCACCCTTCCTCAGTATAAAGAAAAAATCCTCACAGTACAGATATTGAATATTTAATTTTTCATCACAGAAAATCTAGAACAAACTCATTTACATGTATCCTGATTTAAATCCCTTGGTCCTAGGAGTAGGACCCTACTAGCAGAATGCATAGTTTTAAAGTGGAAATGAAGCCAGAAGAAGTTTTATGTAAAATTGAAGCATACTTTGATCAAAGGTGGTATTTAGACACAGAAGTCCAGTGGTCATTGTTAACATCAGACTTTAAAAAAAATTTCACCACATTTCAAAAAAAAAAAAAAAAAAAAATACAATAAATTAAGCCACATATTAAATCCAACATCAAATTGTAGAAGAGGTTGATGAAATAGCAGGAAGTTTTCAATATTGGCCTTCTTCGGATCAATGTCAGTTGAAATATAGCCAATCATTGTTGAACCAATTTCCTGGAGTGTCTGTGGTTCAATATAAAGTATCTATTCTGAGATGTCTCAGTTCCCATGTAGCTCTGATTTAATTGGTGTTCCTTTTCTGTATACTGTAATTATTTTGCTGGTAGGAAAATCGGTAGTCCTAATAATCATGTAAATGAGAAAGTAACACATCAAAGAAGATATGTAATGTATAAAAAAGCTGTTTACTTGTCTGTCATTTCTTGAAATATTTCATTTTATCTGTGGAAGAGAATATGACAACTGTTTGGATTGGAGCAACATGTTGGTGTGTATGCTGGTGGTACTCATGCTTTTAACGCTGGCCCGTCTCGTACAGCTCCACTTGCTCGGCAGTCGGGCGCTAGAAACAAGTCACCACTACCGCTTCTCCTCCTAGACAGCACGGACCTGTGTCCCCATCTCTTGGATTTAGGTCACATATAATCTCATCTTGATCCCCTTGGTTTTTTTTTTTTTTTTTTCTCAGTTGGTGCATTTGTCTGGGTGAAACGCTCTTGGAAATGCATCCTTGTCAAAATTTTTGAAAATTCAATGCTAAATATCTCTCAAACCAAAGGAATTATGGGAAAAAATTACTACAGAAGTCTGACCGAAATTCACATGTGAAGATTCCAAATATGCCCTTGGATTTGACCTTTGATCTTTATTTCTAGGTCAAATAGGCCAAAATTTTCTAAAAATAGGAATTTTTTACAAAAAAAAAATTGTTTTTGCCAATTTTCAGAAACTACACAACCCTAAGCTCTCATATTATAGCGAGGGACTCCTTTCACCTTTTGAACCTCCCAAATTTCCTGTCTGTGGACCTCAGTTCACTCTAGGGGTGTATTCCCAGAGATTTAGATCGATCCAGGGATTAAGATTTAGATCGACCTAACTCCCTGGGGGTTCAAGCTAAATTGCAGTCAGCCGAGCGCGCACCATAGTTAATTACCCCCTAGCAGCTTTCAGTAGGCGGGACAGACGCTTAAGCCGGCTAAGCTGACAGTAATCTAGTGAGACTCCCCACAGGGATAGATCGATCTAAAACCTATGGAAATGGGGTCTAGGACTGATGTTCCTGTCATATGTGTGATCATAATTGTGCTGCAGCAATATTAATGCCCTGTTGCAGGAATTTGGCATGTCTATAGTTCATGTTACAAATTAGTTAGAAAGAGGAAATCAAGGCTTGTCCTTGTGTTTTGTTATCAGTTCTTTGCAGAGTCATTAGTGCTAGATTTGTTTTGAAAAACTTTATATGGATAATGGAAGACTTCTTCATGTACTACATCTGTACCACAAGGTTCATTTTACAGATGTTGTGGTGATAGCATTGAATATAACAATTGGTAAGATGATAGGAAACTGCCAGTCAAATGTATGTGATTTATCACCGCTCAGGTCAGTTTATCAGTAAATTGTAATTTAGTTGTACATAATCTATTTATCTCTTGGTCTACCCAGCCTGTTGTGGAATGATTTGGTATCAGATTTAGCTTCAGCAATAGAAAATGAAAATTTAACTCAAGATTGATTCCCACAATATTCAGAAATTAAAAGTGATTTTGAATGCCAGTATATGTGCTGCTGCCGGAACGACATGGGTGAATCAGCAGCTGTTCAGTGAGGGCTGACATCAGGTGACTGCTTGGTTTAGGAGATTAGTGTTCACAAGGATAGGAAGTGATAAGGCAGACCAGCTAGCTCAATAATTCAGATGGTAGTTAGGGATAAACCAATATATTTTGATGTAGGACATTGCTATGTAGGACATGCCATGCCCTAAATATATATATCTGCTGCATAGAGATGTCTCTTAACTCACTTTTGTTTCAAGGTGTACAGGGTTGTGTATCAAGATTCAAGTATGTTATTTTATATCAAAAAGAAAATAGAAACTTAGTTATTTAGATGAGTAGATTTCTCCTATCATTTCAATGATGCATTCAGTCAGTTTTCTAAGTTACAAATGTCTGCCATAGATAAACTGTCTAATTGGATCAAGCATGAAAATAAGTGTAATTGAGCATGTAAGAGGGATATCATGATGAAACAAATTTAGCTTCTTGTGCATTTAAAGATATTTTAATGAGGTTAGATTCTCACTATATTGCCTTAGCCATTCGGCTTACAGTGTTGGATTATTCCTATCAGGCTATGTGTGAGAAACCTCTAGTTTAAGTTATAGATGCTCTCTGTTTGCTGTAAATTTTCTTTAAAGGTGGGTTTAGCAAAGTGATATTTATGGTTCTTTATATGGCAGTTAGCAGATACATGTTCTAGCTGTTGTATTGAAAAGGAAAGTCAAAAGTGATGTGAAACATGCACCTGAGACGTCAGGTTGAACTGCCTTTCAGTTCATATCAGTTAATTGTTCATCTGGGAAAACTAACCAAAGTCCATATGTGGGTTGTTCCAGAAAGAAAGATATGATTGAGAAAACAAGAAGCTGTGGACGAGTAACTTATTTGGGCTATATTTAACAGCTGATATTCAAACTGTTTCTAGGTACCCTGAGGAATCCATTGCCACTTTTCACCATTTGAATGGTATGGATGGATGATTTTCCAGACAATCAATGGAGGTCTGAATTGCATTATCACTGTGGTGATCCCTAAATGTTTCAGTATGTTATTGGAACCTTATAGATGACTGTGGTCCTATATACCTTGTGATGTATTATCATGGCATCTCTTAAGAAATCGACTGCCCGGCTGATACGGTCCCTGTCCATGGTGGAGCCTGTGCGGAGAACTGGTGGGAACAGTGATGTGTTATCAGGTGAGCTGCATGTACTCACCAAGCCCCATTCTCACCAGCACACTACAATGGATTATTTGTAAAATCCTCCCTATATAATGTATACTTTTACCCGATCAAATGTACAATAATTGTATACACTTACCTGATGGGAAAAAATAAAAGTCCTTGAATACCCTGTAGTAGATTTATTCTTTCTACTTCTGCTTCTGATATGTATAGTTTGTTCATAATCTTTCACTGGTCAGCTAGCTGATTGATTCTATTTAGTATGTACTATGATTCATTAAGTGGGTGCATGCTGAAACAAAAGGAGGTGAGTACAGTATAAACATATAGATACCTTGGACTGCGAAAGCTGGGAATACCTTCTGCCTTTTAAAAGATAAAAGCTACATTATTTTAAAGTTGATGAAGTTAGTAAGTTGGAAAGGGAAAGACCAGGCATTAAAAAAATCAGAGGTAAGTGCATGCCATTTATAATTTTCCATTTGACTTCAGGATGTCAAAGTTAAGACATATATATGGTTCAGATTCTTGTAAATTGCAGCAAGTTGAACAAATTTAAAAGGTTTGTCACAGACAGGGGGATTGTATATTATATTTGTATTGTTTAACATATAACACAATCAAAATTATCTCATGTTGATGCAGTATTCTGTAGCAATGCCTTTAATTACAAGTATCTGAAGACAATGTTTCACTAGTTGGTTATTCTTTTAAGACTGGTGTATTACTTACAGAATTTAGTTAAATTGCTTATTAATTTCAAGAAATATTTCAGTTATATATATATATATATATATATATATATATATTATGACTTGTAAATCTTTGTCTTTACAAACACACAGCAGTAATTGATGAAGATCAAAATTATGGCAGTGACACAGCTCCTAGGTCCCCTGCCTTCCAGGGACAGAGAAGTAAGGTAAGTAGTATTGGAAGAGGGACTCCCTACACACACACACACATATGGAATTTGTAGAAATGTGACAGAAAAATTGACATCTGCTGCCATAAGGCTTCCTGCCTAGGTATGACCTGTTTTGTCTTGCTATTTACAAGTCTCAAAATAGATAATGTGAAATTCATTTATTTATTTATTTAAAAACTGTTGAACAACTATAGCAGTGAAATGATGGTTATGTACAGTTGATAGATTACTATACTACATGTGTGGCATGTAGTACTTAAACAATTTCTCATATCCTGATCATTCCTTATCTCGATATATATTTACTAAGTCATTCAATTTGCAAAGATAAATTATAAATTGACAGACCCCTAACAAGTAAACTATATACTGAATTTTAGGTGTAATTTTTTTTTTTTCAAATTGAAATGTCTGGAAATGTGTCACAACTGTACTGAAGGTTATTACATCAATCAGCAGGTTCAGTAATCCATTCAAGTCAACTATAGGTCAGACTAAGTATTAATGAGTATTTTATTTTAGACTGGCATCTGTATTGATTTCTTNTGTAATTTTTTTTTTTCAAATTGAAATGTCTGGAAATGTGTCACAACTGTACTGAAGGTTATTACATCAATCAGCAGGTTCAGTAATCCATTCAAGTCAACTATAGGTCAGACTAAGTATTAATGAGTATTTTATTTTAGACTGGCATCTGTATTGATTTCTTGCCTGGAGTATAAGACTTAATTTAGGATATGTCTGTAATTTAAGCACAGAGTAATTTGATCTTCACACAAAAAACCACCACCACATTTGTAACTGGTCATCAAAAGTACTTTTTTCTTCATTTTATTTGCTTTCTACTATTTACTGTAATGGTTATGGTGTTATGCTTGTTACATTTTTTCTCACACTTATATTCAATTTTCTTCTGCATATATATTTTCTCTTAAGCTGTTAGGGCATTTTTAAATATAAAACATTTTAAATGTTATATAATGGCCCAGTTCTTGTATCATAAACTGCACTCTATATAGTAATTATCCTCTTAAAGCACTTCTTATTATATTATTTTATTGGGGTATTTAACCTGAGGCCAGTTGGCTTTATTATAAAACCTCATTGACCTACCTGTAAATCAATATGTTACCTTATAGCCCCCATGGCTGAATAATCATGGCCATAGTTAAACAGATTTTATAAGAAGTAACTTACCATTTCTTTTATTCTATATTATCATATAAGCAATGACTCTCTACATAACATGCCACTTGAAAGCATTACTGGTGTTCAAACATAATTCAACAGTGAGTGACATACATCAATAAAACTTGTATATTTACATGTGTATATATGTCCAGAAATGGAACACACTGGCAAAGAGAAGCCTGTTGTGGCCTAAATGTAGGGAGGATGGGGTTGTGTTATATTTGTTTTAAAGCATAACAGGTAAATTTTCTGTGTCAGATGAAAGGAATTTTGGAAGCAAAAATTAAATGTGGCCTGACTTGAATTTGACATGTTTGTCAAGAATGTTTAAATATGATGAAGCTCTGGAACTGTTAAAAGAGACAAACAAATACGAGAAAACAAAGAGGCTCATTGAATTTTATTGGAAAATAAAAAAATTGATAATGTTATGAAGAATGTTTAGATGCTGTGTTGAATGAATGCATTAGTAGGTGAAGTTATTCACAGAAAGATGTTAAAAATGCTGTCAAATTTCTCTCTTAGAATATTTCAGACTAAAAATCACAGCAACTTAAAAAAACATCATTTGCCTATGTTAGAACAGTCCAACTTGAAAAGCTTACATCGAGTTGTTTTTAGCAAATATTCAACAAGGCCTACTAGAGTTTAAGGCTACCCTTGTTAGAAAAAGGGGGATTCTTTAATAGGTTTCCTATTCACATTTTGAAGAACTCTTATTGTATTGCAGTCTGAAGGCAAGCTGCAGAGCTTTCACCCAGCAGTTGGGAAATTTCCCAAATCAAGGGAATCTCTTAAGGTAGGTGACCAGGCATATTTGAGATACTTCTATAGTTAACGGTCCATAGTTAACATTTAAAAAGGGAAGGTGCCCAGTGTTTGATAATAATATTTATTCTTGCAACTAAAAGTTAGATTGTATATGCACTAAAGGAATAAACAAAGTAACCAAAACACATTATAACATTAAAAACAACAACAACAAAAAAAAATCACCAATTAAAATATTAAATCAATTTAAATCAGTAAGTTTTTTAAAATGTTCAATAACATAAAAGTAGAATTAATTTATTAAAATATTAAATCTATCGACTTTAATAACTTAATTAGTTTGAAGTAATGAAGTTTTATTTATTTATTTATTTATTTATTTATTTTTTTTGAGAGCCCATGGTATAAAAATCTTTGCAGGTCTTTTTTATGTTCATGTCCTTCTATGCACATACTTGTAAACATCTAGACATAAATCATTGGCTTGCTTTGCCATAAAACGGAGTTTGTCTTTTGTAAAGCCTTAGTGTACCAGAAGTCTGGATATGATATCTTTAAAAATCTTTCTTGGACTGATTGATTTTTTTGGCTGGGCACTTGGTCAGTCCAGGATGCTACATTTCGGCAGCAGAATGATATTCTAGGGTAGGTCTTACAACAAACGTATATTTTCAGCCACTCATTAAAACAAATGCAAGTTTTTTCCTAAAAACTCATATTTACTAATTTTCTTGGAAACTCTATTTTTCTCTGACCATCCTTTCCTGACACTGGTCACTTGGTAACATTCGGAGAAAAATTTAAGTAATTTTCGTATTCTGCCAGCAGTTTCAGCACAGACTCCCAGGTTGAACTGGATTTAAAAAATGTGTCAAGATTGCTAACAGGTGACGAGATTCATCAGGGTGTGGAAGATTACTTTTGTCAACATCAATGACATTAGTGTACAAAAATGCATAAAAATAATTAAATGTTTTTGGATAAATTCAGTATGAAGTGTTTTATTTACTGTTAAGTTAAAATGTGTGTTTAAAATCTTGCACTTTGTCCCTTAATTCTTCAGAAAAAATACTATTAGACTGATCCAAACAAGTGCTAAAATTCCACTAGTCTCATCATAGTCTCAATCCTACACACACTGGACAACAGAAGTGTCACCTCTACTGAACCAATGCTTTGGAGGAGATAAATAACTGTGGAATGATATGCTCTTGGCATCATTTTATTAACATCAAATTTCACAAAAGAAACGGTTCTGACTGAACAATTCAACTGTATCGATATTCTGACATTGCTTATATTTCACCTCTTCAGGTTAATAATTTTGATTACTCTGATTCAGGGGGTGACACTTCTATTGTCCAGTGTGTGTATTTCTAACAGTATATGTTATAATTTATCCCTAATTCCAAACCAGCATCAACTGAGATTTTTTTCAGTAGTGTAGCAGAACTTTTCTTTTAGAAGAGATACTGTTAGTATCCTATAAAATCTTAAAAAGCACAAGGTGGGAGATTGGAATTGTGCATGTTTTGGTATATGTATTTGTTTTCAGAAATGTCTTACCAGCAGATCTGATCAATAAAACAGTATTGGAAGTTTTCCCTACACCTGGTCCCGTTTACCACCAGTGGGCCACAGGAGGCCCATGTATTGACACTGCTTGAAAAACTTGCTTTTATGATTGGCCTGGTGAAGTGTTTGTGTACCCTTCCCTATTTTGGCCTCCTCATGCATGTTCATGTACTTATCCACTACCCTGTTTATAAGGTAGAGGAATCCGCTTGCACCTGACAAACCTGACAAACAGCTCAAAAGAAAAAAGTTGCTCCGAAATTCTGATGAAAATAAAAACTGAATTTTTGAAAATTAGTACCTCTGCCAATTGGAACAATGAATAAAATAAATTTAATTTACTAAAATGTGATTCAGATGCCATCAAACTGGCTTGCAATTTAAAATACTTTGCTGCTAGTATATATATATATATATATTAGTAATAAGCTCTACAGAAGTCAGTAAAACAGTTCAGAAGCAGTAAGGGCAAAACAATTGAGAGCAAACAAAGTGTGATTTGACCTTGTAGAGACAATGAAGAAATGGTTTCAGTTTCATGCTTGTGGTAGAAGAACAATTAGGAAGAAAGAGCAATTGATTCTCTCATTTAATATGATATATGTTATGATCTTTGTTTGTGGAACTGTGTCCCATAATGTTTGAATTTGGCTTATCAGTGAAATGGACCCCAAGAATATATGCACATACCACATATATCTAAAAAGTTTTTTAAAAAGGCTAAACAGTGCATGATTAAACAATGTTTTGTATGGAGAATCTTTTTAATTATGTACAGACACAGATGTGTCTGTACATATAGCCATCATCTGCGTCTGTCGTCGCCGTCGTCGCTGTCGTCGCCGTNCGGAGAACGGGCGAAAATCGGTGCGCGCGCAGGATGTCATCCATAAAATTAAAAAAGTGTGGCCTAATTGAAATATTAAATCAATTTAAATCAGTAAGTTTTTTAAAATGTTCAATAACATAAAAGTAGAATTAATTTATTAAAATATTAAATCTATCAACTTTAATAACTTAATTAGTTTAAAGTAATGAAGTTTTATTTATTTATTTATTTATTTATTTTATTTTTTTTTTTTGAGAGCCCTTGGTATAAAAATCTTTGTAGGTCTTTTTTATGTTCATGTCCTTCTATGCACATACTTGTAAACATCTAGACATAAATCATTGGCTTACTTTGCCATAAAACGGAGTTTGTCTTTTGTAAAGCCTTTGTGTACCAGAAGTCTGGATATGATATGATATCTTTAAAAATCTTTCTTGGACTGATTGATTTTTTTGGCTGGGCACTTGGTCAGTCCAGGATGCCACATTTCGGCAGCAGAATGATATTCTAGGGTAGGTCTTACATCAAACGTATATTTTCAGCCACTCATTAAAACAAATGCAAGTTTTTTCCTAAAAACTCATATTTACTAATTTTCTTGGAAACTCTATTTTTCTCTGATCATCCTTTCCGGACACTGGTCACTTGGTAACATTCGGAGAAAAATTTAAGTAATTTTTGTATTCTGCCATCACTTTAAGCACAGACTTCCAGGTTGAACTGGATTTTAAAAATGTGTCAAGATTGCTAACAGGTGACGAGATTCATCAGGATGTGGAAGATTACTTTTGTCAACATCAATGACATTTGTGTACAAAAATGCTTAAAAAAAGAATTAAATGTATTTGGATAAATTCAGTATGAAATGTTTTATTTACTGTTAAGTTAAAATGTGTGTTTAAAATCTTGCACTTTGTCCCTTAATTCTTCAGAAAAAATACTATTAGACTGATCCAAACAAGTGCTAAAATTCCACTAGTCTCATCATAGTCTCAATCCTACACACACTGGACAACAGAAGTGTCACCCTTACTGAACCAATGCTTTGGAGGAGATAAATGACTGTGGAATGATGTGCTCTTGGTATCATTTTATTAACATCAAATTTCACAAAAGAAACGGTTCTTACTGAACAATTCAACTGTATCGATATTCTGACATTGCTTATATTTCACCTCTTCAGGTTAATAATTTTGATTACTTTGATTCAGGGGGTGACACTTCTATTGTCCAGTGTGTGTATTTCTTACAGTATATGTTATAATTTATCCCTAATTCCAAACCAGCATCAACTGAGATTTTTTTCAGTAGTGTAGCAGAACTTTTCTTTTAGAAGAGATACTAATAGTATCCTATAAAATCTTAAAAAGCACAAGGTGGGAGATTGGAATTGTGCATGTTTTGGTATATGTATTTGTTTTCAGAAATGTCTTACCAGCAGATCTGATCAATAAAACAGTATTGGAAGTTTTCCCTACACAGTACACCTGGTCCAATTTACCACCAGTGGGCCACAGGAGGCCCATGTATTGACACTGCTTGAAAAACTTGCTTTTATGATTGGCCTGGTGAAGTGTTTGTGTACCCTTCCCTATTTTGGCCTCCTCATGCATGTTCATGTACTTATCCACTACCCTGTTTATAAGGTAGAGGAATCCGCTTGCACCTGACAAACAGCTCAAAAGAAAAAAGTTGCTCCGAAATTCTGATGAAAATAAAAACTGAATTTTTGAAAATGAGTACCTCTGCCAATTGGAACAATGAATAAAATAAATTTAATTTACTAAAAATGTGATTCAGATGCCATCAGACTGGCTTGCAATTTAAAATACTTTGCTGTTAGTATATATATATATATATATATATATATATATATATATATATATATATATATATATATATATATATTAGTAATAAGCTCTACAGAAGTCAGTAAAACAGTTCAGAAGCAGTAAGGGCAAAACAATTGAGAGCAAACAAAGTGTGATTTGACCTTGTAGAGACAATGAAGAAATGGTTCAGTTTCATGCTTGTGGTAGAAGAACAATTAGGAAGAAAGAGCAATTGATTCTCTCATTCAATATGATATATGTTATGATCTTTGTTTGTGGAACTGTGTCCCATAATGTTTGAATTTGGCTTATCAGTGAAATGGACCCCAAGAATATATGCACATACCACATATATCTAAAAAAGTTTTTTAAAAAGGCTAAACAGTGCATGATTAAACAATGTTTTGTATGGAGAATCTTTTTAATTGTTATTACAGGTCCAGAAGAAAAATTACAGGAAGGAAAAGAAGCGAGCTACTAAAGAATTGCTGCACACTCTCAAAGACCCCACAGTTATTGTGATGGCAGACTGGTTGAAGATACGTGGGACTCTGAAAGGTTGGACCAAACTGTGGTGTGTTTTGAAACCAGGACTATTGATTCTGTACAAAAGCCCAAAACAAAAGGTATGTTACATTCTACATGACTCATGATTCTGATTTTTATAAACCACTTTGGAAATTACTTAAAGAAAATCAAATTTTTTTTTGAGCAATTTAAATTTATATGTTCATGAAGTGATCTATTTGAAAATGCATGTTAGAATAGTTATTACTATTATTGGCACATTTTGATGTAGTCATGTGCTGTGCAGTGAAAATTGAATTGGCATACTAATCACTGGATTAGTCCAGTGCCCACAGTGTTGCAGCATACATAGCATATTTGGAGGAAAGTGGGATTAGAAATAATGGCATACTATGTTGCAACGTATAAAATCTGACAACATGTACAGATATATGTTCATGAAGTGATCTATTTGAAAATGCATGTTAGAATAGTTATTACTATTATTGGCACATTTTGATGTAGTCATGTGCTGTGCAGTGAAAATTGAATTGGCATACTAATCACTGGATTAGTCCAGTGCCCACAGTGTTGCAGCATACATAGCATATTTGGAGGAAAGTGGGATTAGAAATAATGGCATACTATGTTGCAACGTATAAAATCTGACAACATGTACAGATATTTTTTTAGTTGTTTTCTCTTCAATTCTACAATATTACAGTTGGTTACACAACAGAATAAAGTTACCATATTCTCCATGAGCAAAAATGTTCATAGTCACCATTTTTTGCCATCTCTTTTGCATTGCTTTGTAAGACAGCCTTCCTCAAGCCTACCCAACTACCACACGCGGCACGGAAGGATATAGAATTCACTGTAGATCGGATCACGCTACTGGTTTTCAAGGTGTGTATCATTATGTGCTTCGTAGTATCAGATGTGGCACCCTCGCATCATCACAATGATATTGCGTACCAGGCAAGAGGGTGCTGTGTCTGATACTTCCGAGCATACTGATACACACCTTGAAAACGGATAGTGTGATCCGATCTACGATGAATTCTGGATCCTTCCATGCCATGTCTGGTAGTTGGGTAGGCCTGTTCCTGATGCATAGTTTCATGCAGAAAAGTTACCCCTGCCCCCCGAGGGTGCCACATCTGATACTACGAAGCACATAATGATACACACCTTAAGGCAGTACCAACAGACTCAAATTAGTCTATCCTGGATGAGTGCCATTGTGTGTGTGTGTTTGGTGTGCAGTTTCAGCAACAAGACAGTAAAATCTTCTTCAAATTGCAGAGTAAACACTGGGTTGGGACTATTCTGCTGAACACTACAGAACTTATAGAAAGACCATCCAAGAAAGATGGGTTCTGTTTTAAGCTGTTTCATCCCCTAGACCAGTCTATATGGGCTCCAAGGGTAGGTGTCTGCTTACTGTCCATATGGCATTTATAAATATGAATCCAATATGTCATGTTCCAAGATAAAATAAGAAGTAGGTTCTTCACAGATTTCCACCAATTTACAAACAGTTTCAAAATTGTTTTGGTTTTAGATCATTATCCTTGATCATTTTTTTAACTTAATATGCATTTTAAAAGTAATCTTTGTGCCATTTTAATTCCAGGGCCCCAAAGGAGAAACAATAGGAGCAATAACTCAGCCACTGCCTTATTCCTATCTCATATTCCGAGCTCTGTCAGAGTCAGCAGGTACGTGGGATTCTATAATTGAAAAATATTTGTTTTTTTCTGGGAGTTGATAACAATAATTTTACTGGAACAAGCTATCTCAGTTCTCATTTACCTGTTTTAGGCTGTTAATTATTAACACAGGACTGAACATTAATGTTTGTATTGTAGATATTTTTTGAATAATTAAGGTATTGAACATACATTCTGAGTTAATGAAGCTTCTTTTTTCATATATAATTTCCCATTGAAACTTTTTTATTCATCTCAGGAAAATGTTGGATGGATGCCCTTGAACTAGCACTGAGATGTTCAAGCTTGCTAATTCGCTCCATGACAAAGGACAAGGAAAGTGCCAACGCCTCCTTAGCTTCCAATATTAGTCAAGAATCCTTTCTCACAGCTGCCTCACAAAACTTCAATATTGGGGAAAATATGAATGAAAGTGACTGTGAAAAGCACTTTCTTGAATTCGGTAAGGCCCTTGTGAACAGTCCACGGTTTAAATGATATCACTTGGCATATGATTGTGATTAATACAGTAAATATATTATATTTTATATAGATATCTATCTTTCCCATCTTACAAGATAAGAAATAAAAATCGATATGATCAGATGCTTACAGATCAGTGATTGGGTTGTATGACCCATATAAGTGTTTTGCCATTTTCCCAAGCTATTTCAAAGGTAACGATCCCTCATTTTCTTCAGATTTGTTTTAAGTAATGCATCTGTTACATGATTATTTTACTTATCATTTTAGTCAGCTATACTTTTGAAACAGACTTTGTTTCAAATTTACTTGGATTTCGTGGATTGTCAATCATTGCATATATTTTTAGAAAATTGGATTACAAATAATTTTAGATCTAGAAGACCATGAAGATAAGACAGACAAAGAGGACCGTGACAAGAGTGAGTTTGAGAAGAGTGAGGACAGCAGCTGCTCAGAGTCGGATGAAGATGAGGTGGACACCATCAATGATGACCTCCAGCCAATGGAGACACCATATGTAGAGAATATAGAGGATGAGCAAAATGTGGCTGTAAGAATATCATCAACCGTCTTTGTTTCAATTTCATTTGCTCTAACACAGGTGGAATGTGGTGACTGTATGGAAAATATGTCTTTTTGATTGACTTGTATTTCAATCTTTATCTTAGTGGGAAACAAGTGACACATGGTCCTTTCTGTAGTGAAGACTACTGTTAATAAGTGACAGATACAATACGCGTCGCCGAGCTGTACGTGAAATATTACGAGTGTATTGTCTCGCCTGCGGCTCGCCAATACACTCGTAATATTTCACGTACAGCTCGGCGACGAGTGTTGTATCTGGCTTAAACCAAGGCCTCTGATTGGCTACTACACTAGTAATGCAACAGACCGTGGAATGCACTCGTACATGACGTGCTTGTATGTCGAATACAGCACAGCCAAGTCTTTTGTTCTACGCGTTAGCCGTGGTTTAACTTCCATTGGATTACCATTTGCATTCACTGACATGTCTGTATTGATTTGTTACATTGCAGTACCAGCAAGGAGATGGGGTTCAGACCTCAGAGGTTGCTGATGAAAATAAGAGCATAATTTGGGCTTTGGTGAAACAGGTATGAAAGAGAATGTTATTAATGCTGAGGAACATGCTAGAAAGTGTAATTTGATGTTTTTCAGTTATTTGAAATTAAACAAAGGATGCATACATAACTTCTGGGTGACATCAATCCAAGGTTATTAAAACTTTATTAAATGTAAAATTGCACTAAAACTAAATCAAACTCACTGTCAGAACCCAGTGTCACAGTGGCTGTTCATTACCCTAGGTTCGTCCAGGAATGGACCTGTCTAAAGTGGTGCTGCCTACATTTATCCTGGAACCCAGATCACTGCTGGAGAGATATGCTGACTTCTACTATCATGCTGATATCCTGTCTGGGTAGGTAGGGTCTAGAAGGGGAGCTTGCCATGTACAAAATACTGGGAGAACATTTCTAACTTAGATTGAAAAATTGCATATATATGCTTCTTGTATGAAACATTTTTTAGCTGATGTTGATAAAATAATAATAAGGATGTACATGTTGTTATTTTTTCTTTCTGATAAACCTGACAGGGAGTTGTTTTGTTCTTAGTGCTGTTCTGCAGGAAGATCCATATTCCAGGATGAAAAGTGTGGTCAAGTGGTATGTCTCTGGATTTTATAAAAAACCAAAGGTAAAAAACACAAAGCATTATATAACCTGTATGTATAGTCCCCTAAATCACATAAGTGTTGGATGTCTTTACAACAGCAAATGACATGGTGTTCAATTTCATTGTGCATTATTATCCAGTATATATATTTTTCTAACTTTGAATAAAAGGTAAATAATTTTGGAATGTGAAAGGTAATTACAAGTGGGAAAGGTTTTTCTAGATTTTTGGAGCAATAGGCATGCATTTGTTTTTTCAGGGTGCTAAGAAGCCATATAATCCCATCTTAGGGGAGACCTTCAGATGCTGCTGGAAACATCCTAAAACTGACAGTAGGACATTTTATATTGCTGAACAGGTAACAAAACAATCACAGCATGCAAAAAATCAAAGTGATGGTGTGAAGATTTTATTTTTGTGAAATGATCCTGATAATTAACCAAGCAGATAATTTTACATCTTCCAGCAGTTGTTACCTTTTCTTAGATGACCTGGCCACTGTCCTCAAAGGGCTGGTTCCTTCAGTGTTTGACCAAAAGCTATTATATTT